AGTCGAAAGTCTCCGTGACGGCCAGCGATGAATCACGCCCTGGGCCTCTCGACCAAGAATGATCTTGGGTTGGTGAGGTGCTTAGTTGCGTTTGATAGGAATAAAAATACCGGTGTTATGTCCTAACTTTGGTTGCTAAGTTGCTTTTACCTTTGATTCTGGCGAGGAGGCAGTCATTCCTGATATTGCTCGAGTTCATACTGTCATGCCATGCCGCAGTTTGTACGCCGAGGAGATGCAGACATGCATTCAAGCCATTGACGATCTTGCCGTCCGGATCCTTGATGTTCATGATGCTTACCTTATGTCACGTTGACCACGGGTTCAAACCCAAATGTAAGGAGGTATGTATACATATGTTCATTTTCCAAAAGACTACTGAGGGGAAAAAAAAGTCATTATGGCGCATAAAACAATGCGTCCACCGACAGCAATTCAACCAGGTTGATGGGTAGAGGGAAAGAAAAGCGCCATGAACGCCCGTGGGGAAAGTAATCAACGAGGTACGCTGAACCCATCGTGAACCCGTTCCCTCCCAAAAAAAATTTAAAAAAAATTTCCCGTTTCCTCCAATCGATTCGTCATCCCTAGCACATCCCAACTCGTTGCGTCGTCTCAGGACTGTGCCGTTTGCTTTGCGCCTGGCCTGGCCGGTTTAGCCGTGCGAGGTCGCAAAAAACAGAGCCGTCGATTTCCATTGATTTCCTTTCATTTCCTCTCCTCTTGCTTTTTTTTCGTCGTTCAAAAGAAAAAGCTCGGGGCGCCCTGGAGTTAGGTTTGTTGGGGAGCCCAATTACAGTTTTTTGGTTCGAAGCAAGATATTTGCCGTGATCCCGTCGGGTTCCCCACTTTCTTTTCAACGGAGAATCACAGACCGCGTACTTTTGACACGCCGAGGATGTCAGATTTTCCGAGATCCGAAGTGAGAGAAATACATCTAGCTCTAGCTCGTTGAGCAAGTGAGGAGAGATTTTCTCAGGTCATTTAGCAGATGTCGAAACAGCACTCGCAACTGAGGGGTATCGTTAGCCACCACGTATATGATGATGATGGATGAGATAAGGATAGAGAACGAAGAAAAAAAACTCACCATTCTGCGCAGCATTCGCACGTCTCGTCGATAACGCAGCAACAGCACAGGGCAGCGAGACAGGCCGTCAGGCAGTTTCCGCCGCCCTGCTTCTTCTGCCGGGGCGCCTGCATGGGAGGCTGTTGCTGGTACTGCATGGGCGGCTGGCCGCCTTGGGGATAGTAGCCGCCCTGCTGCTGCTGGTAGCCTCCTTGAGGGGGACCGTAGGCCTGTGGTTGAGATGTTAGTGATTGTTTTTTTTTCTCGCGTTCAGGTTTGCGATTGCGTGTAGAGTGTGGTGCCGGCGCATGGAAATCGCCACAATATTGGGGAGATTGGAATGCGCCGGCAGCGAGAATGTCTGGGAATGGGTAGGGTGAAAGTGAGTGCTTACAGCTTGGGGGTGCTGAGGGTAACCGCCTTGAGGAGGGCCATAGTTTTGGTTGTTGTAGTTGCCACCCTGGTTGTAGTAGTCGTTGCTGGCCATCTTGTATATATGTGTGTGTGTAGAGTTGTGTTTTGTTTTTTATATGTTGTGAAACAATGAAGCTATTCAGACAAGGCGAGAGTGAAAGGCCGACTGATGGAGAATCTGATGAGGAAAGACAGAGGTGGATGAGAGTGAGTGTGTGAGATGAAGGAAATCCGAGACAGCAAGAAGGCGGAAACGTGTGTCGATAAGGGCCCCCCTCCTCTCTCTATCTGTATCGAGTAAGGTAAGGCAGTGAAGAGGTGAGTGGCCCAGTGACAGGTTCGAGGAGATCCCTGCTCTGCATCGAAAGTGACGGGCTGGGCGATGCTGCCCGGTGGCTTCCCCTCCCCTCCCCCCCGTCCCACCTCAAGTCACAGTGGAGGTGTAAGGTACGACGCATCAGCCCAGTACTTTTCAGTCTAAGCATTTTTTAGTTCCTTAGGCACATAGGGTAGGTAGTGCAGGTATCCGTAGTCGGATAGGTACTTTGGTACCCTTACCCAGCTGCCAGCATGCAGATTGAGGTGACTGTTCTTTTTGCTTGTGCTGAGGTCACTGGTCTGAGGTGTCGTCCATTCGGAGAGAGCGATGAGCTGCGGGGCCGAGAATCGAAGCTTTTCTTTCCCTCCTGCCCCATCCATCCCCGTCAAGACAGCGCCCCCAAAGACAGCTGCGCACGCCGTCAGTAGCACTGGGGACCGAATGAGCGAGAAACCCCGATTTTTAGGTACTGTATTCGTACGGAACACGTTTTCAGGCGGGGCGGGGAGGAAGGAAAGGGCACATTACAAGATACAATCGGCCAAGGCCCGATGAGCGCGATAGATTGAGGTACCCGCGAGTAATCCCGAACCAACTTACACTACACTAAGGTACCTTAGCTACGGGGCCCCCGGTGTCCAATAATGGACCATTGCAGTGCATTTGGAAGTGGGTTTCTACCGCCCAGCACTCTGTTCAGACCCGGCATGGCTGAGGTGATGACTGTTCCTTGCAGACCTGACCCCTACGGGCCCTACCATTTACGGTGAAAAGCGCAGCAGGGCCAGGCTCAGGCTCAGCCAGCAAGCGACACCGCCGGCGCCCAGCCACAACTTGGGGGAAAGGTGGATACCCTGATTGGCCGGATGCGTGTTCCCGGTGGCGGCTTGGTGATGCGTCCTCTCTCGCTCTCTTCTTTTTTGCCATTGATGATGTTGGCAGTCTTTGACGTCGTTTTGTTCACATGGTCATGTTATCTTTTTCTCCCGAGGGGAGCAGTCTGTGGGTGGTGGGTACGGCAGCCCGCAAGGGCAAGAATATTAAAAGTCGATTTTCTACACTACAGCTACGGTCGGGGGTAGTACCTTCCCTTCTAACTTATTAAATAATTTTAAAGGTTTTAATTAGTTTGATTATTTAGATCTATAGCTAGTGCCGCCCAGAGGTAGTTATAATATAGTAATTAAAAAGGTAATTAGAAGGGTAATTAAAAATAAGTAATTACTTAAAAAGTACTTATTATTAGTTAAAGTAAACATATATTATCAGTAGCCTTAATATAGCTAAATATTAATATAATAATATTTACATATTATAGTACCTACCTAAAAATCTACCCGGGTACTTCTATTTATAATTATTTATAATTGATTAACGTGGTTTACCAGTCAGCCGCGCATATCAGTCAGCCGCGCATTTCCTTATCGTATACTAAGTCGCCTACATTATATAATTAATATCTTTTTCAATGTTGGTTATATAACGTTTAAATTTTTTCATTAGTCTTTGATAAGAGTCACCAAACTAAATAAAAAGTTTTAAAAATTAATTTCTATTTAGAAATAGAGTAGATATATTATATCCTTATCAAAGACCCATATTTCTATTCCACTGCTTATTTTAATATAAAAAGATTAAAGTGTCTTTTTCTATTAAATTTAACTAGTTATATTTTAAATATATTATAAAGATACTGAAATCTTTTTAATTAGTTATTATTCAAAGAAATTAGGTAAATATGCAATTTAGTATGCGATAAGGAAATGCGCGGCTGACTGGTAAACCACGTTAAAAAAAATATGTACAAAAATAAATTATACAACTCTCTTACTTAATCACTTAATATAATAATATACTAGGTAATAAGATTGTATAGATAATATTTATATATAGGGCGAAAAGGTGAGTATTACTTAATATTATATCCCCTCCCGTTACTATATTAAAATCTGGACTTTTGGCATACTTCCCCTTGCGGGCTGCCGTAGTGGGCCATCAGTCATTACCTACCTACCTACGTGCCTACCTACCCACCTACCTACGTGCCTACCTACCCACCTACCTATCCAAAGACGGTCCGTTCCCATTTCCATCCATAAGTTCGTTCGTTCGTTCGTTCGTTCGCCTTGGGCGCGTTGCATAGATGGATGTACATTCGGTACATGCCGCAGCATTGAACGCCATGATGACAGATTCCCACCCCAACGATATTTGGATTCCGAGGTTCGGTTCGTGTTGTGCTACTACGGAATGAGGCACCTTGGTTCGGACAGAATTAGTGTAGGTAGGTCATTAGTTGCCGCCAAAGTGGCCAGGACAGCTGGACTCGTCCTCGCAGGCTCCGCGCTTGACTTTTGCTGCCCCCCCCCCCCCCCCCCCCCCCCCCTGCGATATGCATCTCCGTGGGCGCTTGTCTCGCATGGAGAGCAAAGAAAAGGGAGAAGGAAAAGCGAGTGAATTTGAAACCTCGAATAAGGAGTCTGACGACTCGACTTGTGCACATGAACGTAGTCATGCGACTCATCTTGGGAGACTGAGGCCCATCTCTAGCGAGACATTGCTACGTACGTCGCTCGTCCCGAATGACCTGCCTTTTGCACGCGGACCGGGAGAGACATCTTCTTCCCACTTGCAGGCTTGGTAGCACTGCACTAGGTAGGTGACACGCGAATTATAATACAATTCAATATGAACAATACCTACGCAAGCTGACGAACCAGGAGCAATCAGAATGGCCACACCAAATCCAAAACATCAAGTGTCACTGTTTGACAATCCCTTCACATTTTGATGGGAATCTTCTTCGAAACCTCCACTTTTGGTCCAGAGGCATCGAGATGGACCCCAACCGTGAGAAGTGTGAGTGACACACCCCGTCCGGTACCCGCATGAACGTGCCGAACGAATCCGCCAGCCAACATCTTCCCATTCTCACTTGCGCAGTAGCGGCAGTACGAACAGAAGAGAACAGCAACACCGCAGCTAAGCCTCCTTGCTGCTTATAGCGTACCTACCTCAGAGTCTGGGAGAAAACACACACACACACGAGACTCAGCCACCAACATTCAGAGATTCCATCCAGAGGCATAATAACCCATGCCGAGCATCCGTCGTTTCTCTTCCCATTGGTTGCAAGCAAAAACCTCACAAGATCTCCAACACCTCACGAACGGTGTACCACAGACGCACACCAAGCAACCAAATCACATGAGCTGCCAGATCTACCTTAGGTTCACACTTTTTAGCTGCCACAGCTACACCTATCAAAACGAGGGCAGTAAAACCTTGGGTAGGGTAGACAGTCAATGCCAAGTCAAAGGGTCCAGCCCAGCCGCCCCGGGCGGGCGGCGTTCCTCCTGAAAGGAACCGTACCGTACCGTTCCTACCGTTCGAACCGCCAAGCTTTTGCGGCGACGGCTGTCTCGACGAGTTGGCTGGCGTCTCAAACTCTCCCTCCACCCCCCGTTCATTCCCGCCCCTTGGCTGGAGCCTTGGGTCCCTTTAGAAACGACAACCTCTCATCTGGCCTGACGCCGACTACAACTTCAGGTCATCGACCAAGGTCGTACGGGTTGTATACGCCCTTATTTCTAGTAGGACTTGTGTGTGACTTTTTTTTTTTTTTGGTTCTCCCAGTAGTGCCATACTAACGAAGCCGACGTAAATCATAAACCACCAAGGTTTTGACTACAAACGCATGATTTTACTAGCGTAGGAAAAGCAGAAGCCCATACCTCGAAAATCTGCTCAACGCCAGGCCTCCGGAAGCCGAAAATGGGCAATCGAGCCTATTGCCTCTGCTTTGCTTTGCCCTTTGTGCGTCTTCCAAGTTTCGCCAAGGGGAGATGGAAGGAAATACCGGAAAATCCGCCAACAGCGGAACATCGTCCCCTGCCTCGACAATCTGTAACAAAACAAAAAGAAGGAAGAGAGACAAGACAAGGGGCACGCAGCGTTTGATCGCCAAAATCAAGCATCGACAAGCATTTTTTTCTCTTGTCGCAGCGGTGGATCACCCGTCCCCCTTTCCCGTTCCCCTTTCCCCTTTCCCGTGTTCCAAGTTCCAATACGGAGTAAGCAAACATGAAAACTAACGAGACGGTTCGTTCTCCCCCCCTCCCCTATCCTACCCATCACTCCTGTCTACGACGTAGGCAGGCCTCGACTACATCTCAAGAAGTTGAGATGGTTCGCAGCCAAGAGGTGGGGGGCTGCTTTCACCCCCCAAAGGCCCGCCGCCTCACAAACGCCGTGGTGCCAAACACTCGGGACAACCCTTCGTGCCAAGATGGGTGGCTGCCGAGTGCATCGGACGTCAAATCGGCTCGCCGAGCGCCCAATCTGCATATGCCATGCGGGCTGGGGGGCCGAACAAGCTACCTCGCCAAGACCTTGGTTCTTCACTCCTCACGATACCATTACGTATCTGTAGATGTTACCTGTGCAGAAATGTTACGGGAGACCGCGGTGAACTTGAAATATGTCATATTGCTTGCTGCATTTTCGCTCTCAAAATTTCGTTTCACACGTTCGTGTCTCTATAGTTACTTTGTAGATGACGCACTCGCAAATGCTCACAACAACCACACTTATTATACACTATTCAACCATGGTTCTTCGTACCTCGTGCTCCCCACCCCTCTCCCAATGTGTCATCATCGCTCATACCTCGGCAGTGGTTCTGAGCCTGCTGCGTGGTGTTGGTGGCTGGACTGTCCAGCGCCTGCTTCTGTGCTGTAACTGTACTGCTGCCCGTAGTCGTCCTCGTCCGCTAATACCGGCGCCGACGGCTCGGCCACGTCCGCTGGCGGTGCTGATGCCGACGCACTGGGTCCCGCATCGTAATCGTCTGGGAATTCCGGTGGCGCGCTGGCTTCGACCAGCAGCCGCTGCCGCTCGAGCTCATGTTTGTCTTCTGTCCGCGCTTCTTGATGTGTAGAAATATCATCCAGCGTTGGCGCGGATGCCTCTTCCTCCACCCCATTCGCACCGTGATGCGATTGCGGTTCGGGCTGGGGTTCGTCCTCGGCGTCGTAGATATTCGGCTCCGGTGCTGATGTCCCTGACGGGCCCGCTTCTGACATCTGGGGCGGTCGACTCGGTAAAAGTCTCTCTTCTTGACGCCGTGCCCGCTCTTTCTCCGTCATGCTACCCTCGTCCGGAACTTGTGGGGGAGGTACGTAAGCTGGTGCTTGCATCTCATCTGGAGGACTCGTCGGGTGTATCGTGATCGTAGGCTGCCGGCTGAGAGGGCCCGGCATCTCGGGAGGCTGCGGCCAGTAGCTCTCACCATCGTCCGCGTGGATATCGTCCGTCGGCCAGGGGCTAGAAACTTCTTCCCTGCTGAGTGATCCTTCTCGCATCTGGAACGTCCGCAACGTATTACTCCGCCCGCGCAACCTTGAACTATCCGTAGAACCCAAAATGACCTCGAAAACGACTGATATGACTCCTTTTTCACGTCGTAACCGATCCGTGTCTATCACGTTTCCTCCCCACGAGTTAAGCGCCGTGTTGTTGCCGTCGGTGGCTCCCGACCCGGGTGCAAACTGAGCTACCCTGGACTGGCCTCCACCTTGAAGTTGGCTCGCGAGCCTCCCACCCAAATCGACCAGGACCTCCACTTGGTATTTGAAGCTGACCATATCCCCAGGCACGCCCTTGATGGTCGGGAAAACATCTTCGGGCACCTTGAGCGATGCTGTCACCGTCGTTTCCAGTGTAACTGGATCGATAATGAGTGGAGCAACAGACTGGGATAGGTCCTTCCGGAAGACGCTCAGTGACGAAGTCGAGGTCAGCGATAGGCCGCCCAATCCAGTCCGCGACCGCGGGTAGTAGTCTTCTTTCGCCAGCTTGCGGGTCTCTTCTTTCGACATGATGTCGGCGAACATGGAGGCTGGCGGTGCCGTATCAACCCTGCCCTGCCGGTACATGGTGACAATGACACCATGCATGCTCTTTATCCGTTTGATGTGCTGCACCGAGACCTTGACTGACACTGTGTCGCCTGGCAAAGCCCCGCCCTTCAGCATCTCAATCGTTGCCGTAATCGTCTTTTCATCGACAGCTTGCATTTTTGAATTTGTCAACGAGCTGCTGGCTAGCTGAGGCTCAGCTCTAGCTAGACTGATACCCGTGCTCGAGCTAACGGTACTGTCGCCGCTGACTTCGCTCTGTATATCCGTGTGCGTTGGGCTTCGGGGGTATTCGAGCGGATCATGCGGGTGGTCTTCTGTTGGCGCTGGTGACTCTACCACGCGCTCAGCATCGTGCTGCTCAACATCTGACCCTTGCTCCGTAGTTTCCACTGTGGCAGCATTCTTGTCGTTGCCAGCGGTCCGCTTCCGTCTCGATTTCTTGGAGATTGGCTCGAGATAGATGGTTCGGGGGCGAGGCGGCGCGAGGGATGCAATGTCTATTTGCTCAACCAACTGGATTTTTCGATCGCAGGATGATGTCGGAGATATCGAGGTCGGACGCGTCAGGGTCGCTGTTATCATGTAGGAAATCGTGCCTCGTTCAAACTGGAATGGAGCGCGTTAGCAAGTATGCCTCGTCACGTTAGTCGCGGAGTCCGGACGTACATCAATGCTACTGGGCAAGCCCTTTTCGGGAAACACTAAATCAAACTTGAACTCGTATTTTCCAGCCTCCAACCTGCCCTCCCCACTGAGCACCTGCTCGTCCTGGAAGAGCGACGCATAGCCGTTGCCGTGGTACTGGGCCGAGGAGCGTCCGGACAAGGCGGGTTTCGCGATGGGGGGTTCGCTGACGGCTGGGCCCTTATGCACGCGAACGTAGCCATGCAGGGCAACAGTGAGATGGGTTATGCGGATGGGCTTGACTACGGTCAGGACTACGGCGCCATAGACGTGTTCGCCAGCCGAGTACTGGCGGTGGGGGTCGTCGGGGCGGACGTGGAAATCAGCGAGGTTACGCGAACGCGATCGGCTGGGCAAAGCGAAGCGAGAGAAGAATGAGCGAGCGGACGAGGTTGTTTCTTCGACGGAGCCGTTGGAATGCGAATATGCGCCCATGTATGCAACGACTTGTGGGCCGGGCCTTTGGCGGTGTCGTGAGGTTGTGGGAGTCGTCGGTGGTGGCGGTGGTGGTGATGGTCGTGGCGGGTGGTGACAAGGACGGTGATGTCGGCGATGGTGGAGGAGTTCGTTGAGCGGAGAAGGTGAGAAGGCTCAGGCTCGGGTTCAGGCTCGAGGTGGAGATGGGGAAGAGGGCGCAGCAAAGGCGACTTGAGTTGGACCCTCGACGTCGACATGCAATGAGGGGATTCGCACAGCGACGCCAAAGTGGCTTACAGCTTTAGGCGGGGGGTTTAGTCGAGAGTCGACGGGTTTGTTGGAGGTCCAGTGGGTTGTCTTGGCTGGAGGACAGGGAAACGGTAGGTCGGGCGGGCGGGTTCAGGACCGACTCCACGAGGTCTCGGTGTGTCGGGACGGTCAAGGGACCTGTGCTCTGAGCGTCTGGTCGTCTGGAGCAGCGCCTCAGTGTACGGAGTACGGATACTGCGTATGGGCCTTGGGGATTAGGCGGGCTGGCTGGTTGGGAGGGGGAATTGATTTGATGATGGAATAGCAGGCTGGGATGTGAGAGATGCTGGCAGCGGATGTTCTTGGTTGCATATGCCAAGAGCGAAGAGGGAGCCTTGCCAAGAAAGCTTCGCTTTTTCTGGAAATCTCGAGGGTTCACAGTCTCAGATTGCCCGTGGGTGCCGGGGGTTCAGGAGAAAAACAACCTGAGGCAAGAGAAACTTGGGGCGACGGGGTCGGGGCCACGTAGTGTGTATTACTGTACAGATGGTGCGCCGGATGTAGATTGCGCGGACGCGGACTTTGATTTCCCACACAGCCAGACGTTGGACAGTACTATTGTGGTAAGGTAGGTAATTACTGCGGTAGGCTGTGACGAGCAATCGGGAGAGACGCCGGCCAAACTAGTAGACGGAGGGGAGGGGGAGAATAAGTGGACGGACGGACTTTTGGTGTTGGAGGCAGCCGGTCCTATTGTCAGTGACTGACGAAAGTATTGAACTATTGGTACGGAGTACGAAGTATCGGAAGTAGGTACTTTGTCTCGAAAAGAGAGAAAGAGACAGGATCCATCGGCCGACATTAACACCCGAACAAGTGACACCCCGATCCTATAAAGCGGAAGGGCGGCAAGGAAAGGACGGGGTGGGGGGCTACCTCAGGTAAGGTACCTAGCCTGGGAGAGGCACTCGTTTTGGGCAGCAGCAAGAAAAGAACTGGCTGGATTGGACTGTGGGCTGTCTTGATCTCCATTCGGTGAATGAACAGGCCAGGGAAGCAGCCTCAAGCACCTCAAGCGGATGGAGACGAAGAGAGAGAGTCAGGACTCAAGCATTTCAAGACCTGCGGGCTGCGGCATCTCACCGTACGGCGGTACGGAGGTACGGAGTACATCCCCCGGTGCTCCTGCCCTGTCCGCCCAGTACCTCATTACCCAGCAAGTCCCTTCCTAAATCCCCCCTTCCCAGGTCCCTTCCCGCCCGCCTGCTCAGCTCAGAATGGAAAGTGCACTTTCAGGTCCTTGCCCTGCAATACTCCGTACCCATCTACGGATACCTAAGCCCTTCTTACCCTTGAACGCGTTTTGCTGTCGGCGGCTGCCGTGTGTGCGTGTGTAACGTGTCGTCGCTCGCCTCACCACTGGGGGAAAGCTACTACTACTACTGCCTGACTAAGGATTCAGAAATCGAGACTCCCCGTCGGAAACACGCACTTGCCAACGCGGCCCAAATTCGACGCACGGGAATGTGGGGAGGAGCCCATTTCTGGGACAGCAGAGTCACAATACAACACGCGCGGCACAGCCGAACATTTTCAGCTCAGCTCAACCCAACTGCCTGCTGCTCCGTGCCTTGGTTCCGAGACGGCAACAAAAAGATTGGGAGTGGGAACAAAAGACAACCACCAAGACATGCCACTCACTTTAGCTGGCGCTGCCCCGATACGCTTCTTACACCGTACCCGTGTGCCCGTCTCCCCGTCCCGAGTCTTGCTATTCGACGATTCGAAATCTCTTCGAGATGCTCCGTGCCCTTGTTGTTGCTCCTCCTCCTCCTTCTGGCTCCTGCTATGTCTGGGCTGGCGCCTTATCCGAACCCTGTCTCCCGTGCCTGAGGTGATCCAATGTTGCTGCCCTCTTGCAGCATCGCTTACCCGTTTCTGCGAGTCGGCGACCACACACCACACACCGTTCGCAGATCCAAACCTGTAGGCTGCCCGAAGGTGGTATCCGTCACTGCCTTTGAGATGCCGGCAGCCGACGAGAGACCCCTTCCTTGCCTCCTTCGAGCAAATACAGAGACAATTGATAACCAATGCCTGTCTGCCTCTGCCTGCCTGCCTGTCTTACACACGATCCCAACCAATCAGTCAACCAATAGCTGAACCCCCTTCGGCCAAAGGTGGTGCAATTTTTGACAGAAAGACAAACACACGGATGTGAAGCATTTCGTCCCAGTCCACTAAGGATTTCAGGAACAAGAAAAATGTAAAAAATAGCGGACCACAAGACGTACGGGATAACATCTCAATGATCCGATACTTTTGATACCCCATTTCCCGAACCTCACCCCTGTCTGCAAAAGATTGCTGTATACGGATACGGCCTCGAGACGTAAACCATGCTACTCGTCCACTTCTTCGGATCTCAAAGCCTGGTCTCAAGAGGAGAGAGAGGGACGGGTTTTTGTGAGGCGACAATGGGAAACAATACGGAAACCCGCTAGCTTACCTCAGTTCTGAAAGTAAAGACCACAATGTGATTCGGGGACCATAATCACTAGCCTCTAGGTACCCTTCCCCAGGTACACTCGTCGATATTGACGTCGGGAAATAGACGCAGGCCAAGACCAACAGCCCAGATAAGGTATTGCTGCGTCGAGTGGGATGAGAGAGAGAGAGAGAGAGAGAGAGAGAGAGAGAGAGAGAGAGAGAGAGAGAGAGCCTCTCTCCGCAATATAGACTCGTAGATCCAAGAAGAATTCGCCCTCTTGGCGGTTACACCGTTTCTTTGAAAGTTGCTGCGGATCTCCGCCCGATCTGGGATTGCGACGTGGAACCTTTCTTGGCTCGCGGGAAGAAACAGCGTAAGGCTGACTGACTGATTGATTCGCTTGTCAGCAACACCTCATAATACTAGGTAAATAAACGCCGACCTCAATCAACACCAGGGAGCGCTGGGAGCACGGCCGTTTCGTCTGACTCTCGAGCCACAGCACCTCATCCTCGTTTCGCCTCATCGTCTTACTCACTTCACATTTGAGCGTGCGCCGGACCATTCAATGTTGTGACTCGGGTGATTTTGCCTGCCTTGACAAGCCTTGTTTCGTTTTAACCGTCTGGTATCATGCTATTAATGTCTCGTCTCTCTATTTCTTTCGCACCCCCATCGATGCTCTCTGTTCGAGCATATACCATGTTGATGCCCTGGGCTCAGCCTCATGATCCTCAGTCCCTTATTTCCCCAAACTCTCTAGTGACGTCTCGATCAATATCCAGAGAACCTATTGTTTTGACATCCATTGTCCTGTCGATCATGTCCATTGATCCGCAACAAATCCCCCAAAACGCCACGTGCCATGCCTTTCCGGACTCCGATGCCATGCAAAATGCCTAATGACCCCAAATACTCCTACACTGTTATGCTATGCTGTAATAATCAATCCAATGCTTCGCCGCTGAGAATGCTCGACAAAATACCCGCTCCGACTCCCTCGGCAATGTTCTCCATTTCCTTCTCGCCAACACAGCTGGCCACTCGCTTGTCCTCTCCGGTGGGAAGCGCCGCCTTGCGGCCTCTCTTGCTTGGTGTCTGTGTCATCACAAGTCCACCTGTCTTTCCATCAACAGGGTTGACCAAACCCAGTGTCTCCAAACTTCCGATGACCTCTCGAAACTCTGAGCTTGACAGCGGGTGCAAAACTGAGTCTCTGGTGCAAAGGATTGAATACGTATCATACAGAGTTTTGACTGTGGGTGCCATCGTTTGTGACTTGGTGGGGGTCGACGGGCCAGTGGTCATCCTTAACGCTCGGTTGCGCTTCTCAAGGGCAACCAATGAGCAGAGCGCCGCCTTTTGTTGAAGGTTGAGAGCTTTCAGCCTCTGATTGGTTCCGTTGCTGAAGGCTGCCTGCGTAACTTGGTTCAAATGCTTGAGGAGCACTCGGGGTGCGCTCTCGGCTGTCAGCGCCTTGAGGGATGTTGCGGCGACGTGTGAGACGCTCCTCGAGGACCCGCTGGAGCCGGCCATATTCGCATTTTCGCCGAGAGGCTTCCGGGACGGTGTCATCTGCAGAACCTTTTCTCTTGCTTCGTTCTCGTGTTGCCGTCTGGTCTCTGACTCGACCACGTCCAGTGCTCTTCGGCAGATCTCGAAAGCCTTACGCAAATCCCCGGTCTGACTCGAAACCTTGCGAGAGCAGAGCTCAATCGCCGCAGGATGAAAGAAGGGAAGCGTCTTGTTGGTGCTGTCGGTCGGCAACAACGTCATTAGGCGAGTGCTGATAATACTCTTGATTTGCGCGGCCGAGTACGGGTGGAAGGGAAGAAGATTCGGCTTGAGGTTTTTAGATTTCAGGCGTGGCAGAAATCGGTCCGTGAGGTCGAGTGCGTTTGCAATTCCAATAAGCGCAAGCCGCGAAGGCTGTTGCAGAGACCATTCGAACAACCGGTACAGACTTTCCAAACCCATTGTCAAGATGTGGTCGATTTCATCCAAGACGAGTAAGTAGACAGGTGAGCCTTTCTTCTTCGTCACGAAGATCTTTTGCAATCTCTCCATTGCTAATGCTTCCGGCAGATCGCTTTCGTGTCCAAGGAGCTCCAACAAGGTATTGTATAGGTCCTTTGACGACTTGACGCTCATACAGTTGACATATGCTTGACGCACAGCGGTTCCTTCTGTTGATTTCTCCGTAATCTCCTTAATCATTGCGCTTTTCCCGGTTCCAGGGGGTCCGCTGACGTAGAGACATCCATTGGGGTTTGTGGAGGAGCAGCGCTGAACAAATTGGGTCAATTGCTCTCGTTCTTTCTCGCGTCCAACGAGCTCGCCAGGATCGGCACCCCGAGCAAAGAGTTGTCGGGCAGAGTGGTAGACGGTTTGTAGAGAGCCGGGAGTCAGGGGAGATTGAGGCGTCAACCTCTGGAAAAGCTTGCCGGCAGACTTGACCACCTGGCGAGGGGTTGAGGGAGAATTCGCGAAGACATCTCGGTGTCGCGGGGTCTGAGGCGTGATTGGGATCGACTTCAAGAAGTTTTGGGAAGGGGAGCGTCTGAGCTTCTTCGAAGCCGGCTCAACGTAGGTGTCGTCGAGGTCGTTGTCGGCATCTGGAGTGGTGGCAGTTACTTCGGGATCCGCGTTCTCGTCGTTCTCTGAAGCAGCTCGGGTTTGCCGTCTGGTACGCTTGGCAGGAAGCTCCACCAAGTCTGAGCTGTCTGTGAGAAAGTGCGTTTGGGTCATGGAAGTGATAGAGCCTACCTTGATCCTGTACGGACCTCGTCCGCTTGCCGAGTGAGGCACGAGACATTGTTGCTGAGGATTATGATTATGGTAAAGAGGCAATCGTGACTGACAATTCCAAGTAGACAACGCAGGAAAGCTTGTTCAAGGTACCAACAAATGTGAGGTAGGAAGTAATGAGTGTGGGAAGTCGAACCTGTAAGTGGAACTGCAGAGTCTTAATTAAGTGGTAGGCGCGCGCCAGCACGATGACCGGGGAACGACGCGATGCCAGGGTCGCGGAACGCGCTTTCTCGCGATTCAATTAAACACGGCTCGCCTGGCCCGTGCGTACGCGACCGGGAAAGATGGCGTGGATGGGTGGACGGGTCTCTCCTTCCCGCTGCTTCCTGGCTCGTGCGTAGCGGTACCTTACCTAATGCAATCGGACACGGTTTGGTCTCACAGTGTTGGCTCCTATCGCCTACGAGCGCACTGTCTACCCCTGTTTCCCCATGACGGCCACAGACGGCTTGTGGCAATCGACGACCGGCCTATTGAGGCAGCGGAGGTGCCCGGCATTCTAGCATAAACGGCGGACAAAGCCGCCATCCCACGATGCCTGTCTTGGCTCATGACAATCTTCTCTTTCCTCGCAAATGTGTTTGGATTCTCTCCCGCAATGACACACAGACAATCTCTGATCTTATATTACCATTCACTTGACTATGCATAGGCTTGGACCGGCACTTCGTCTCACCTAATCCGGCGCATTGGTTAGACAGAGGGGTCACTAAGTCACTGACGTTCCCGACGTCCTTGTTTACCTACTTTCATACCCCTCCCTAACAAACTTGCCTATCAACACATATCGTCCCTTTCACCACCTGTTGTGTTCATGGTAACAATTCCTGCGGCTATGGTCAACGCGGAAATGAAAAGTTATAACTCCCGGGTGGAGGAATTTAGGGATAGGGAGTACCCTATGATCAAAGGTTCATTGGTTCATCAACTACAGTCAATCTATTTCAACTTACTAACCAAGAACACAGACTCTATATATCTTGACCATGCCGGAACAACGCTCTATGCCAAGTCTCTGGTTGACAGGTTCTCTGCAGAGTTGATGTCAAACCTATTGGGCAACCCCCACTCCGCTTCCCCTTCTTCTCAATACAGCACTTCTCGCATTGAAGATATTCGCCTCAGACTTCTCCGGTTTTTCAACGCTGATCCTGAGGAGTATGATTTGGTCTTCGTTTCCAACACTACAGCTGGGATTAAACTCGTTTCCGACGCCTTCCGAGCCTCGCCAGAGGGCTTTTCTTACGTGTACCACGAGGCTTGCCACACAAGTATAATAGGGGTTCGCGAAGAGGCGCGCGAGAGCAGGTGTGTTACGGATGACGATGTGAGACAGTGGATTGATGGAAAATCTCCCCTGGATGATTTGAACGCCTCGGACTTGCCCACGCTATTTTCCTACACGGCCCAGTCTCATATGGATGGGCGACGTTACCCATTAATTTGGCCATCTCTGCTGCGAGAATCGCCTGCCGCTTCACAGCGGCAATTTTATACGCTATTGGACGCAGCCTCGCTAGTGGCCACCTCTCCTCTAGATCTCAATAACTCGGAAACGGCACCCGATTTCACGGTTCTGAGTCTTTACAAAATCTTTGGCTTTCCAGACCTCGGTGCTTTGATTGTCAGGAAACAGGCTGAGCCGATTTTCAACCAAAGACGCTATTTTGGTGGCGGTACTGTTGACATGGTCGTTTGTGGAAAGGAAAGATGGCACTCTCCAAAATCCATGTTCCTTCACGAGAGGCTGGAGGATGGCACTCTCCCATTCCATAATATCATTGGACTTGATGCTGCTCTAGACGTTCACGCAGAGCTGTTCGGAAGTATGGCTCGCGTAGCATCGCACACGGCATTCCTGAGAAACCGACTATACGATGGACTTGCCAGCCTCGAACACGGAAATGGGTTGCCTGTCTGTACCATTTATTCAGAACGGCGCAACGATGTGTCGGTGGGAAGCGGGCCACTTATTTCATTCAACATTCGCGACAGTGCCGGAGCCTGGATCAGTCTACACGAGCTCGAAAAGCTCGCCACTCTGAAGAATTTACATATCCGGACCGGCGGTGTCTGTAGTCCCGGAGGCATCGCTTCGGCACTCGGCCTGAGCCCATGGGATATGAGAAGAAATTTTTCGGCAGGGTTCCGCTGCGGTACTGATCAAGATGTCATCGCTGGAAAGCCGACTGGCGTGATACGAGCAAGTCTAGGTGCGATGAGCACTATTTCCGACGTTGACTTCCTGGTCGACTTTATCGCCGAATTCTACCGAGAAGAAGTGGCAGATGAAGACTGTCGCGCCGAAATGACAACCTCGTCGATAAGGATCCAAGTCCAGAGCATAAGCGTCTATCCGATTAAAAGCTGCGGCAGTTTTACCGTTCCACTTGGTATGGCCTGGGAAATCATGCCAGAAGGTCTGGCTTGGGACAGAGAATGGTGTCTTGTCCACCAAGGGTCAGGACAAGTACTGAGCCAGAAGAGGTATCCCAAGATGGCCCTCATCAAACCCACTCTTGACTTCGATGACGGCGTGTTGCGTGTAGCGTACAGAGGGAAGAAACCTTCTCACCTACCCAACGAGATCTCAGTTCCCCTATCTGCGGATCCCACTTACTTCGAAACGAATGGCTGCCCTCGTGAGAGGTCCTCACGAGTATGCGGCGACAAGATTACGACACAAGTCTATGCTTCCGACCACGTCAACGGCTTCTTCAGCGACATTCTCGGCGTGCCATGCGTACTGGCACGGTTTCCGGCGGGAGGGCAGGGACCAAGCATGCGTCACTCGAAAGCCAAGGTGCAAAAACATCAGTATCCTCAAGTCGGGCCCCCAAGGGTGAGTCTTGGGGCGTCTCCAGAGCTACCCTCCCCGCCAGACTCGGACTCTGAGCAATCACCATCCAAAATTCTTCTCTCTAACGAAAGTCCAATACTCCTGATCAACACATCAAGTTTACGCGCTCTCAACCACGAAATCCAGGCGACTGGCGGGAAACCAGTTCCTTCCGAGGCATTCCGAGCCAACATATTGGTCGGGTCAACTCAGGATTCTGACCATATCCCGTGGGCAGAGGATGAATGGAAGAAACTCACAATTGGTGGTGAGGACTTCACAATGCTGGGATCTTGCCGCAGATGTCAGATGGTTTGCGTTGATCAAGAGAGCGGCGAGAGGCACCAGGAGCCGTTCGTGACGCTGAGCAAGGTTAGAAGGTTCGACGGCAAGGTGTACTTTGGCACGCACATGAGCCATGATCCCACCACGACATTGCTCAGAGAAAGAACGCAAGGCTCGGTGATAAGAGTTGGTGATTTGGTCAGCGTAGGAGCATGATGTTGAGCATTAATTACGATGAGGAAACGCTGCTAGTACGAGCCCTCCACTGTTGACAGACCACAGAGAGAGCAGCTGCTCCTTCTAAATCAACTATGAATGCCCTCGCGCCTTGGCTGTGAAGTTGGCTTTTTTGAGCAGCAAGCTTGCTTGGGCAGTTGCTGCCAGCAGGAAAAACACTTATGACCAAACAGTTTCACCTGCTGAAAGACTCCCACGTTTACCTTTCTGCGGAGAGTAGGCCTTTTGCCTCCTTGTCTCTCTCAAGGTACATACTCAGAGCTCATCAGAAATTGAATTGTCAAGGTGAGCGAGCTCGGGACATTTCGCCCGCCAACCTTGAGATGTTGATCACTGCCCGGTGCTTACCTAAGCTGCCCTATGAACGGATACCTACAGTGCGCGCTTCCTCACGCAACGTAGAGGCACCTTGCCTTAACAGGGCCCGTGCACCTATCCGTTCCCGGAACGTGTCCTGCAGCTGCAGCTTCGAGTCTATCGCGGCTCTCCTCTGCTTCCCGAGGAAGCAGGCTGTCTTATTCCTTCGACATGTATTCATACCGTGAGAGCCTTTTCCAAACCTTCTTGATCAATAATTGCCATTTCCTAGCATCCCGCAGCAGTTGGGGGGAACGCGCCTGGTTCCTAGCGTCCTCAGGTTCATTTACCACGACTAATGAGCACAGCGCGGGTGCCCTGGCCCATCCATGAGTTTCCACCACCCCCTCCACACATCCCTACAAAAACCCACTTCTTGCCCTCTCTTCTCCCTCCTCTCTCTCCTCTCCCTTCTTCCAACTTCACATCCCTCACCTCGACCTCTCGACGCGTCGAACCCCAGAGGTCACCAACAATCTCTTCGTATCATGGCTGGTTGAGCGATTTTCCAGCGTTGTGCCACTGAGCCAACTGCTTTTTTCCCCCCTCACCATCAGCAAACTGCAATCATTTGCAAGCTCGGTCAAGCTTCTCTCCCCTCCCGACAGATTTTCGCTTGAAAGCCAAGATTGCGATGGCATGCTTGAACGAGGACGGCAAAGCCGCTGCCTTTCGTAGCCAGCCGCAATCTTGAGTGCTGTCGGAATCATGAGCCATTGCCCTCAAGAAACGCAGTTGCAGCCTCGGGCTTTTCCACCCTGTGCTTTGCCCAAGGGCAAGACATGTGGTCGGCCGACGGAGCAAGCGGATCGCACACGAGCTGCCCTCCCTCCACCGTCACAACTTGACACACCCCTGTGCTGTACTACGCACTTCTCTGGAGACTTTGGCACTGGGGTTTATGCAGGCGTGTAGCCTGAGACATCTGGTCGGCTTTGCTGGTCTTGTCTTCGTCACTTTGTCCTGGGCAGGACGTTAAAAGGCCTTGGAGTTGCATCATGGCAACGAATGAACGACATAGAGAGGCAAATGCAGCCCATGTATTGAGGTTACGTTTATGATACTCGTTATGGAGTCAAATGTGGTATGTTTTGGATACTTCGTACAGTCCTTAGCAAGACGGTCCCCCCCCCTGACTAACCCACTTTAGCAACGATCTCTAGACTTGCGACGTTCCCAAGGCTGGGCAACCAAGACGTACGACACCATCTCCTTCAGCAATTAGACTTCGACATACTTCACCTAATTCTGACGACCCGCCACGATAATGACATTTGTCTGGGACTTTGGCATTCTTGGTTCTTTTCTTCTGCCAACCGGTATGGATAGTAAGTTGTTTTACCTCGTACTTGTTTAGCATGCCTTGACCGCACCGCTGACTTCAAGCCCAGGACATTGGATCGGAAAAGGACGGCGCCCTGATCATGATTTGTCCTGGGCATGACTTTAAAAGGCCTCGGTCCTCTACGTTGAGGATCGCTACGGATGGGTTTGCAACTGCAGTTTGGGAATTACGTAGGTCTCCCTCTGCGAAAAGGTTTATACCTGGCAACCCTCAGCCTCCAGGATACACTCGGATCCCCGGAACACAAGCTTCCGGATTGGAGAGTTGGGCGGCCACGGCCCCCGAAAACGGCCGATTTGGCCCCGGTCTACCTTGCACTTCGGTGCTTCATGACCGGCTTCCATGTGCATCATTGATGTCTTGGTTGAACTGGACGATCGAGATGAACAGCAACGTCAATTCTCTCGTCAAAAATCGCCTCTGGCATATACTGTGTTCAAATCCGCATTACGCGGTAAATTATTGGGTAACCGAGCACTTAGTGCTCACGTACTGTGTGAAGGTGCTCTTCAGCTGCGAAGTTCAAGAGCCCGACCCACCGTTGCAGCTTGTGGGCGACTGATGGAAAAGATTGAGCAACACAACCGCTGTCGGAATTCTGACAGACGGGGGTACGCAGGCTGCTACGTTTTAACAGCCTGCCTATCCAGTGCCTACAGACGGGGTCCTTTCTGAAGGAGATAAGCGCGATAGTAAGAGCGATATGCCGAGATCGTCACATCAACTCTCACGATTTCTCGCGGCAGAGGCTACTTTGCTCCGGAGCCAGCATCTCGGACTAGGCCGAGGAGGATCTACCCCACGATACACGCCACCACCCAGCCGGGTGCCGATACGTGGGGACAACGTTTGTAATGGGGGCCCGAAAGGGCTCATGAGTTTGGGCTGGTCGCGTCTCTCTGATGTGGTCACATCTGGGCCACAGAGAAAAGCTCACGTCTCGATCAACAGTTTTGGGGTTCTGCGGTGGGATTAAAGTGACAATGGGAAGCAGCAGGTGGGGTATTCTGGCTCTAGTAAGCCAAGGGAATACAAGCCTGACAATGGTTCCCGACCTTGACGACATTGGGGGACAGCAGGTGGGGGATTGCTGTGAAGAGGGGATGACTTTTGATTTTCTATATGATATAGTCCTCGCAGTCGCAATTCAAACCTGACATTTGTCCCCAATCACCTTTCCACCTATCCATCATCTTTGTGCCAAACGACTTACATGTTTAACCACTGGCTGACAGGTCAATTGTGAAGTGTGAGTTATCGACCATGGCACCATCCTCAGAATTCCACTGAGGTAGGATCGATTTCTTTCACGCACTCCGATGCTTCTTGCTCAAGCACAAGAGTCTGTACGTAGTGTAAATAACGACACTGACTGATACAAAACCTCCCGTTCTTTCTCGAATATTGGTAGAAGAGATTAAAATATCTAGCGTTATCAACATTTAAGCACTGATTTTGGCATTGTGTGAGGCTCCCACTGCCCAATCGTCTGAGAGGGAAACTTTTATATGGGATTAGCATGTCGCACATATACTTAAGCACACGCATCATGACGTAAAGGAACACGACGCACAAGATCTCATAAGTTTATCATCTTCACAAGAAAATGTTGACATTCCATCTTCTGTACGTTAAAACTAGCAGGCTTGACCGTGCCATGCGACATTACATAGATTTGACCACAAAGGGCCTCTTTTAACCATAAACGCCATATCCCATACAATCTTACAACTCCAATTCTTTCACTTCCCAAGCCATAACGTATTTACCGCGAGGCTACGACGACTTGACCCTCAACACCCGCTGGTCCCCAGGCTGGAGGAACGCACCCCTGGACGCTCTGGACGAGACACACGTCTCCAGCGAACCTACGCGTTACTACCCCCATGCCCTCGGCCGGTTCTAGTCCTCCCGAATCCCCCCGCACCCCAGCGAGACACTAAAGAAGAAGCCGCTGCTGCATTTCTGCAGATGATAAAAGCGCTCCCGCGATCCGACCTAGTGATCTACTCCGATGGGTCCATGCTGTTTGAAGGCGCTGTGGGCTACGGATATGTGATATACCGTGGGCCCAAGGCCATCGCGGAAGGCCGTGGCCGCCTCGGCGAATACACAGAAGTCTTTGATGCCGAGGCCGAGGGGGCCCGTCAGGGCCTACGGCGAGCACTGCACCTAGCTGCCACCTCCCCCACTACAATCCATCTTTGCCTCGATAATACTGGCGTTCTCAACTTCATCTCGGGTTTCGGACGATCTCCCGCCAGCTCGCAGGCTGCTATGCTTGAGATACTCGACGCCCAGCGGGCAAGGGATATAAAATGCCACTGGTCGCCCGGACATACCGGGATCCCTGGAAACGAATTAGCTGATAAGCTTGCTAAAGAAGGAGCCGCTCTCCTACTGCCTGACCCTCCACCGCTAGCATCATACGCTGGGATAGCGAAGATGGCCCGCGCCAGAGCCCGTGGCTACCATTCACGATGGTGGCATACTTCGAAGCAAAAGCTCAAACCAGGCTATAAGAAAACTGACGCTGCCCTCCGTTGCCCTCCGGAATTGGACCTACGGCGTCCTCTTTTGCACCACCTCCTCGCTGCTCGTTCTGGCCATGGCCATTTCCACGCCTACCACAGGCGCTTTCAGCACGACGGAGACTTCAAATGTAACTGCGGGCGGAAATTATCGCCTACCCATCCAGTATATTGCACGAAGAACCGCCGTACCTCGGCGCTATGGCCGATTACCGGGACCGTGGACGATCCGGGACCACTACCGCCCCCGATAGGCCTGGCCGAAGCCTATTGGTACGCCCTGGTCAGAGACCCGGGTGCCTTTGAGAAGTTCGAGCGTGTGACGCGCTACTATGAGGCTCACTCTCTGCAAAGATAGCGAGCCCGAGATCCCGCGCCTCACAACTCTCTCACACACCCACCGACGCCTTGAGGCCCCGGCCTTACCACACCCCTCTCTCTTCCTTCCTCCTTTATCTTCTATATAAGAAAATATAAGAAAACAGAAAAATGCTCGCGTAGGCAAATATGCCTCCGAGGGCCGGTTACTTGTTGCGGCAACGCCGTCTGTGGACGGCGTAGGGCTGCTAGAGACCCATTCGCTTCTGCCGAGTCAGGGACCCCCTGCTGGCGTGCTTTTTGGAACTGAACGGACCCTGGGGATTAGATACTAAACTCCACTGCTCTAGGCACGAGAAGAAAAGTGTACATTATAGACTGCCTGACTTGTCGTACGCTATAATGGCGGCACGGCACATCATATGCCCAAAGGGCGCTCTGGTTGATCGGAGCTTAGTTACATAGATAGCTGGGCACCTGTCCCTGATGATGTAAAACACCACTACTACTACTACTACTACTACCATAACGTATTTATTTCGGGGGGCTGGCGGGGCCACGAGTCCAACTGCATCATCGTTAGTTAAAGTATGTGTTGTGTGTAGTATGGTACAACTTACTTGTGCCACATTTGCCCAATGAAGCCAGGTGCCGGCTTCGAATCCGTCATTGATTGTCTGCGGGCTGCGTTGCCATCGTGGCGCTTCTGGTCCATGAGACCTTGGAAGAGGGTTCCGGAGCTCTGGAAGTGATAATATGTTAGTAACGTAATGTGTGTAGTTTGGTGTGTGTTGACTACGTACACGTCTGCGGCCGGTAGGAGAGACAGGAATGTCGATGTTCTTGCTTGAGTCCATGATGAAGGTTGGTGGTCTTTGTTTGGTGTTTAGTGGATGATTGGTGTTGTGTTGTGGTTTGCTTGTGATCGTGGTTATCAAGATATTGTTTGCTGTGATAGGGAGGAGTAGATGAGGAGATGAGGGGAACAAGAGGAGGTATATAAGCAATACAGCTTCACAGAGCTACGACCTGCCAGAGAGCATTCAGTTGCAAGCCAGGTAGTTCGAACAAGGGCCCATGGTGATCCTGTACCACCCACACCTTCCACCTCCATCCCAAGAATGACTTCACCAATGAGACCACCGCCCACTCCTCTGACACAAGGGATGCGGGAAAGCTTGTCGATGGGCCGGTCAGAACGATGACGGTGTTTACTCGTCTGTCACCATCACACGCTAGAAGACTACGCTACGTGGGGAGCTACTATGCTAGTGTAAGGGGACTTATTACGGGGAACCCGCTCGAAGAAAAGGGGATAGCTACGTCGAGCACAATACCTACCTAGTAGGTAATGCCATTTGGCGAGGCGGTATGGACTTGTCCAGCGTCACTGTTGACTGAGTTGGAGTAGCAAGAGAAGGTACATCGGTCTGGAAGCTGAGGGGATGTTAGTGTTGGACGTCACATCAGAGGGTCGAACGCTGATGCTTCGCCTCCCTCCGTCATTTCTGCTATGGTCTCCCGCCTTCCAACCAGCGGGAAGTGCGTAATGGTCAGATAGACAAGCAAGACAAGGACCCCTAACTGCCCCTCGCTCTCGTTTACCCCGCGCAGGTACTTCGTACATGGTCTGATCACTCTGAGTCTGGCACGATTGATAGCTTGGTGCCGCGATGCGATGCAATGGGCCGTGTGGCCCAGCTGGAGAAGTGCTGGATTAGTCTGACGACGTGAGCCAGTCAGACGTCGTCGATCCTGAGCAGCGGCATGGTCTATCCTCTTTGAGCATTGAGTTTCCCCCTTCTCAAAGTATCTTGAGTAGCAAGGGAGACCCCATTTGGAACGGATGACAATCCATGGCTTCGCTGTGAAACCCATGGAAACATCTGAGTGGGAGCTCGTTTCTTCTCTGCGGTACTGCTGCCGTAGGTCTACGGCGCTCTATGCAAACCCTCGCGAATCATGAGCTCGACACGTGATGATATGCCTGAGCTGGTACGAGATCTACGTTCTGTTGCACATACCTGAGTAGCTCTGACGAAACGATTGCATTGGATAGGTAAGCAGACGTCCAGACAAGAGAGAAAGGGGCAGAAAGGGATCGCGTGCCATTGGACATCCTAGGTGCGCCCAGTCTGCTGGTCTGCCTGGCACAGCGGTGATGTACGACATTGGGGGACGTATGTACGGATCATCGTTCGTGAGCTCACGTTCCCACCCCCTCTCTCCGCTGCGGAAGGCAAAGATCGGCGGGGAAGGAGGAGAACAAAAGTGTGGGGAAGCCCGCCAAACGGCAACTCTGCCGGCGCGCCGCCCTCAGCGCCAGCGGCCCTTTCGCCTAGACCGATGCAGCCTGCGTCAAGGGTCCTGCTGTTCTCATCGAGGCCCGCGTTTCGGAGGAATTGAGAACACGCGCAGCCAGCCGTTCTTGTGGTGACTAAGAATGTCCAGGCTTCTTGCAGCTTTGTTTCCGAACGACGTTACAAACCGCATTCGGACAACGTAGGATTCGGAAAACTCTCAACCATCTAGGTAATGCTGGGAAACCAGTTCGATCGAACAATCAACAGAGGACGAATCGAGAAAGTCGTTCGAGTCAAGAACGAAAAGTCTCGATCACCGCGTCTCAATGGATGATGCCAGAGGACCCGCCGCGTCCCGCTGTTCTAGATTTCAGATAGAGCAGAGATTGACCAGATAGACGCGACGGCGTGAGGTTCGCGCGAGCATCGTCTGGTCATTTTTGGCTCGATTCTTGCGATTCTTGGAAACGGCTGGGCCGTCAGGTCCCTGCAGACTCGAGGCTTGCAGGAACCGGGAGAGCCAGAGAGATGGGGTTTGCAGAAGCGACAGCGGCAACGCCGTACCCTTGCCCGGCGTGTCTGCACTGCCGCCGTGCTCCCCTGAAAGCAAACGCCCGCGGACTTCTGTGTAAGGTAGGTAGGTGTCTGACGTCAGGACCGGATCGTTGGAGAGTGAAAGGCTGAAAGAAAGCTAGAAGTTGGTCAAAGCTGAAAGATAGCGAATTCGGTTCATCGATCGCAGAGGAGGCTTCGATGGATGATGTAGGTGTGTGGGGGAGGGGAGACGGAGAGATCGGGTATCCACTAACTCGCATTGGCTCCCTTGCAAACCCCGATATTCACTTATCACAGACAGCCCGACTAAATGGCAGGCTATTCGATTAGCGAAGTATATGCATTCAATGCAACGACCAAAGACGTTCATCTCAACTTCCGCCTATTCATCCCTTCATTCGCAAATCATTGCCCTTTGCAACCCAAACCGTGTTGATCAGCGAACTCCCAACTTGCCAATTGCGGCCTTCAGTGGCAGAATTCGAAACTCAACGGCAATGTTGCAGACTGTCATCTCGTCTCGTCTATTTGCCGTATATTGAAAGTTGGTTTCATCTCGTTAGCTGGGTTTGAGTCTACCGAAAATTCTGCTGTTGTCAATACCTCCTATTCGCGCGGCTTTTAGGCGCTGTTCATTCACAAAAGGCAATTCCTGTGAGAGACGATAAGTTATAAGGATCGACAGTTTTTATTGTGTTGTCCTGGGGGACATGCAGAAGAGAAGCTAGGTTGATAAGAAATGATTAAAGACAAGAGATTAAGCAAGGCGAAAAGGAGCCGCTAGGACTCGTCAGATGCCCGCAACAAAGTTCAAAGTCCCCGGTTGATGTTGAATGATCACCGCTAAACCCCTCGCGTTCCAGTCCTTTCCTCTCAAAGTCTTCGGAAACTTTTTGGTGTTATGCAAACCGCATGCTGGAAGTTGTGAGTGGAGTAATCGTGAAAACGTGCTTTGCGAGAAGCCCGGTCGGCAAGCCGACTGGGCGTTGTCGAATATGCCGAAACTCGTCATGGGTGTGCAGTTCCGTGGCTGCAGAGTACCTGCCCGAATGAGTTACCGGCCTGCGACGATTCTCGAATTAAACACGGCCGCCGCCGAGGAGACCGCCACCGAGGCCACCGAGAAGGCCACCGAGGAGGGGTCCGAGAAGGCCAGTGACGAGGCTGAGGACGCCGGAGAGAGCGCCGAGGCCGGAGGTCAGACCGCCGAGGTTGGGGAGACCGCCAGTGGGAAGGCCTAGTCCGAAGCATTAGTTACTATTCGAAGGTATTGGCACAGGTATTACTTACCGGGAAGGGAAGGAAGACCGGAGCCACCGATGAGAGGGGCGATCTGGGCCTGGATGGTGGCGACGATGGTCTGGATCTGCTGGAGCTGGGCCAGGCTGAGACCGCCGGGGAGGTTGGTGCCGATGGAGGTGACGTTGGCGACCTGGGCCTGAAGGGCACCGATCAAGGCCGTGAGCTGCTCAGCGCTGACAGCACCGGTGGGGATGGCGGGAGGGGAGACGCCGGGGATGGTGGGGATGGCAGGAAGGCCGGGGATGGCGCCGACACCGGGAACACCCTGGCCTTTCGGAGTTGTTAGTTGCAATGGTTCGATCTACAAGCTCTCGATTCACTTACGGATGTTGCCAACAACGCTGAGCACACCCGCCAGGAGGCTGGTGAGGACTTGAACAATGTTGCCCGGGGTGATGGGAAGGTTAGGGAGGCCGGGGAGGCCAAGGTTGGTCAAGGCACCCAAGCCGGGAAGGGTCGGGAGGCCGATGGCACCGAGCTGGCGAGCCTCGATCTCGACGTTGCGCTTGGCGACGGCGTTGGTGTTGTCAACGTTGGCAATGGCAACGGGGTTGGCGACGGCCAAGGCGAGGAGGGTGGTGAGGACGACAGCGGACTTCATTTTGATGGTTGGGTTTCCGAAGAAAAGGGGTATTGGTTTGAAGAAGAGTTGGTAGTAAGTGATCCGAAGACTTAGAGTTGAGAGTTGAAGCGGCTGACTATCCTGCAGTGAAGGCGCGGTGTGATGATGAGAGAGGAGATATTACGATTTGGACGGCGGACGACGAGGTCTTTTATAATGAAATTTGGTCGTTGATGAACTGAGGGATTATGGCGAGCTATCTCTACATCGTCGTCGTCGTCGCAGAGGAGGAGTCAGTCTGCCTTCCGTCTTCGTCGACTGCCTCCAACTGGCCCACATCAGTGCCAAGGTCGCAAGGAATCCTCAACGTGTTGTTCACGTTGATCCCCTGCTGAGCGTGACAGTCTCGTGAAGTTCCCGGCTACATTTCCCGCAGAGGCCCATCACAGCTTTCGCTTCGGAGCACGACGCCGAGCCAACCACGAAGAGGGACCCTTGGGCGGGCACGAAAGGCTAGGCTCCTTGGCTCCTAGGGCCAAGGCGGTCCAGGGAGGGCGGGAAGTCTGAGGCCAAGCGTCTTTGACAGCTTCCTCCCGCCAGAGTCGACCAATCGCTGACCGTCGCTCCAGCCTGCGCGCTACTAGATCCGTCCTGTCATGTCTCTGGTGGATAACTCAAATGTGAGACACATCCGCCGATGGGAGGATCGTGGCACCTTTCCTCCTTGCTTCCTTATTGGCGCCTCTCATCTGCGAACGGCTCGCGGGAATGAGTCCCACGGGGGTTCACAATTTCCGCCCAGGCCCGATCTCCGTCACGGAAAGGCGCGAATCCCCATATCCACCCATACCCTCCGATGAGACACATACAGGATATCTCGGCCGAAGTCCTGGTGACGTTTGCGGGGGGAATTGTCGTGATCTGAGTCAGCTCATTCTTCGCCCGCCGTTGCTCCCGCCGCCGATCACCGGTAGGGTCACATACCACACTACCTCTCGGATGATGTGATGTTACGGCGTGGCTCTTCAATATCCGGCAGCGTCGAGGAAGTTGCCCCCTCCCAAAACGATCGACAGGAGATGATCAATGAAGCCCGCTTGTCAGGTTATCCTCTTTAACGAGAAGAAGGCTTTTGAGCCTCTTACTGCAATTGTCTCTCTGCCTGGCTTTTGCTGCAACTTCTGCTTTCGTCCGCAGGACACAGAAGCGGATGCAATCGTGATGATTGTTGGAGAAATTGTTACGTAGGAGGTTGTGAGTTAAGAAAAACAATAAGTCTATTTTGTCTCAGCCTCCGAAAGCCTCTTAGCCTCAACTTGCCTCCTTTCCCGCTCTCCCTAACGGGACCTTGCATTCCCGCCCAACCCCGTTTCAGCCGCCTAGACATAGGTAGGTAAGCGCCTAGAGCTGAAGTAAACTTGAGAACTGACAACTTGTCTAGGGCAAGATTTGGTCTCACCAACATTTCTATCGAATCACGCTCCAGGCTTCCGCCATCTGACATGCTCAAGAATTCATTCTTGGCAAGAGGCGGTCGCGGGCCGACACGACGCATTTCTCACTCTGACCGAGTCAACTGCATCGTTGTTGTGAACTCCTCCTCCTCCCGCCTCTCACGCCATAGCTCGCCATCTTAATGAGAGACATTGAGAACCGACGTGGGCCGCAATAGGGTGTCGTGGGGCTGAGTCGGTTGACTTGACTTGCCTGAGGTATTTCTCGAGCATATGTCGAATTCGTTCTTTGGGGGAGGGCTCCGCCTTTGTTGACACCAAGCCATATCCAGCCCGGATAATTAAATTGAGAGACATTAGGTACGGGACGGGCATCTGGGAGGCTGAATCAACCTTCCGTATCGGTCTGTTGCAAGCCACGTCCGAATCCTGCCAAGTTTTTGAGACGGATGGCTGTTCTTTTCACTTGTCTTTTACTCCAAACTCAACATTCAACATCATTTTGCGGCGAAGAAGGGATATTTTGAGAGGAATGAAGGCTGAACTCGCACGTCATGTTATCACGTCACCAACAAAGGGAATTTTCCACAATCTGAGGACATTCGAAAAGAAGAGACATCTTGCTCGTACGTAGGTGGAGGCAGCAACTTCAACTCAACTTACCGCCAGGGAACATGTCTGGCTTGACAGCTGTAACGTCACCTCGGATGCTGTCACACGGCTGTCAACTCAGAGTCAACTAAGAGGAGGCCACCAAGCGGTTGCTGCATATCCATATCCATCTATCCCTGCCGCAATACCCGACAAATAATGTCTTTCCATCTCCTTCACAGTAACCATTATCCAAATTAAGCAAAGGCTGCTCTAGGCAGATGACAGTATGGCGGCCGCCTACTCATGAAGCATCCAGTTTAGACATTGAATGCAGCGAACGAAATCTCAGCTTCTTCCTTCCAAGGTAGCAAGTGTCTCCTGCCGAGCCTCCCAGACCGATATTATCTCCTGTTCATGCAGCTGCAGGCTGGGCCTCCTTTCGGACCGCCGATCTTCGTTGCCGGCATCCGGGCTGGAAGGGCCCAGAGACATCCCGCCGACCTGGCCTGGGGAGCCTTTGACGGGGTTCGTGGGAAAGCGATTGCGAGCGGAGACTACAGCAGATACAAGCTTCGTCCGACTGTCATCTCCGGGAATCCTTCGCCTGGTGCGGGCCATCCCTCCCTCTTCGTGGCGCCGCTGCTCCTGGTCACGCCAGTCTTGGCCGCGTCCCGCATAGCCCAGCCGCTCCTCTTGCTCCTTGTCCTCCTCGCCAATTTCCATCGTCCGTCGTTGCCCGAGCTTGGAGTGTTTCTCTCGGAATTCCTCGTGTTGCTGCCGCACGTGGGTCCGTTTCTTGTCGCTGATGCGAAGCCTGCGATGAGCGCGGCCATATGCCTCGTGGTCGTTGTGCGCTACCCGGTGCTGGTCCATTTCCTCTCGTGCGAAGGGCGGCCCAGCCCCCTGTGAATCTGATGCTCCCGGATGGCAAAAGACTCGAGAAATCTTCCCTCGGGCACCGGGATGCAGTCCCACAACTACCGAAACTTCTGGTCGACGATGGCGTTGGACCAAGAGAGGCACAGTGAGCACTTGCTCGTCATTCCGGGAAGAGGACAGTCCATTCCTTGTTGTGATTGTTGAGCAATAGCGGGGATTCAAGGTGTCAGGCGTACGATTGGTTCGTGAACGACTGAAGAGTTCATCTCGATCTGGAGGGGGAGGGCGCCCAGCCTTACGTGACTCCCCAGGATGTCTTGCCGCAGTCACGAACATCTCATCCCTGGCGTCTCCTTTGCAGACATTTGGCTGCTGAGAATCCTTCTCAATAGAGGGAAACATTGCGAGCCTGGTATCATCTACAAGACGCAACAGAGCTTCCATCTCCTCAGCCAAAGCTCTCAAGTTGTTGGAACCAGATCTCCTCAGGGAACAAGCCTCGTGGTCGAAGCTCCATCCAGTCATCGCTCTCCCATAGACGGCATTTCGAACAATATCTCGGCGTGCGTCACAACCCGCCTCGATGTGCCCAGTGTGATGAGATGATTCAGGCGTTCCGCTTTCTCGTACGATTCTGGGCAGCCGGCGAAGATTCGAAGGGGTCTTTGGCAGGAACCAGAGGGCCACATGACATCGTCGGGGCGTGTAGCCAAAGAAGATGTGTGACGACGCGGATATCCCTTCTCGCAAGGGCTGAAATATCCTCAAGCTGCCATCGGTCTTGTGATAGATGACGAACCTCGCCCTCTCGTTGATCCAGGCGTCTGTATATCTCCCTGCTCTCTGCCACCATACTGGTACATGAACGAGATCGCTGCGTATCACGAGTTCCTTCCGCCGATTCTCCCATACTCTTTTCCATTCATCACCCCATACGATCAGATGTTCTTGACGATCCTCAACAGCCCATTTTGCACCCTCGGGTATCTCGTTAGGGATCGCGAAGCGTCGGGGGCCTGGTGTGGACGCTCTTGGGAGTTCAACTTCCCCTCTGATTCCGTCGTAAGTCACCGGGTCTAAAATACGAGGATCATGTGTGTCGAGTAGCGAATCATCTTCTGTCGTTGGCTGCCCAGGTTGATCACGGGCAGGGTTGTGATAGTGGCTGAAGATACTGTCACTCACGGTTTCCGAATGGTGCTGCTCCATCTATGCTGCTTCTGGGTCGCTTATTGTTGGCGGCCTGCCAGCTTCTTCAGAAGACTTGGAGTGGTCGCTTAGCTAGGGATGCTTGCAAATGAAATGAAGAGATATGTTGTATCTCTCTCTTAGGCAGGTGTATTGCATCTTGCCGGTAGACTCGACTGAACTAATGTGAAGACATTGGGATCTTCTGAACTAGAAATGCAATTTAGTCTGCCTGGGAAGTTGTGATCAAGGGTGACTACTTTTTTGTGAGGAGGTAGGTAAAGGGGTGGCCAGAGACTTCGACCAAGATGAACAGAATTTCCTAGAATCAACTGGATATTCTGGAGCTTTCTGAGTATAGCTCAAGACAGTAATTGGATGCTTGCCCTAGCCATTCGAAGTTGTAGAATGAATTTTGACAGAGGCCGACCGAGAGAAGCACACTGTCGCTACAAGCTTTGTATCTCGTAATTATCGGCCTCTTCCTTGACAAGAATGAGTCCCATGACATTTGAAAGAGGACATTTTCCAGTAACCATAGCTAAGACAAAGAAGTAGGTACTGTGATTCAAGTGTTCGATTGATTGAACAAGTCTGATTACAAAAGCTTCCAGGTACTGTGGTACATGTATTAGTTTCTTTCCAGCTTTACAGGCGCAAAAGATCGACCTTAACGGGATTAGGCTTTCAAAATAGTACTGTGGTGCATAACAAACGTATCACGTGGTCATGATTATATTCTTTTCGAACGTCAGCTACAGAGTTGACGGCAAAATGAGGTACGCTTATTTGCATTGAGTTCGAGACGGAGAGCAAGAATTCAGAAGAGCTAGATATTCAATTTTCAGAGTCGAGTTTAATTAAGTTGAGTTGAATTAGGTACAAGAAAGAAAGTAAACATGCAACTGGCTCGCTTTGTCAAGTTTTCAATAAAAGTCACGGTGCGTTTGTGAAAGTGCCTGCCATTATTTGCACTTCTCACAGCAACATGTCAGATTGGGAAAAGACAAAGATTCTCAACGTCTCTTGTGTATGCTGGATTGAAAGGTTTCGAATCTCTTGCTCGAGGCCAAAGAAATAAAGGAGCAGTGTAAAACAACGGCTGTGCGTACTATCATCAATGAAGAGTTTCAACAACTCTCATTGTGACCCGTTGTCATTGTTCTTTGATCGCGAGTGAGGCCAAGATTATGACAGAGCTATATAGAAGTCTACCGAACAAGACAGAACTCAGGAGCCGTACAAGATAGAACCAAAGCAACTATTCACTTATATCACAACAATTGACATAACATACAACACTCCAGTAGTTGGGTAAACCAACTCTCTAGCGTCACCTTCGCCATCAGAGGTAAACCCTCCAAACAGGAGCAGCAGCAATGTGCTTCGCCAAAACAATCTACACGTGCCAGCACGAGGAACGAAAACGCATAACCTGCCGCAAAACATGGCGCCAGCGAGCGGGCTGGTGCTTCCGCCCGATCCTCCTCTTCTTCGTCGGCGACTCCCCCGACGAGCCCTGCAGTGAACTCCGCGTCAACGACAACGTCTGGCCCAACGTGACCTGCCCAGAGTGCCGCACCGCCGAGGAGACCGGGATTGCCACCAAGGGCATGGTCACTAGTACGACGACAACAAACAAGTACCGCGAGAAGCTGACGCCTGCGGCGATAGCGGCGTCGCGGCGGCGCAAGGAGGAACAGGAGAAGAAGGACGAAAAGCAGCGGACAAATTACTGGTCGATACAGGAGAATTACCAGGAGGGGCTTAGGAAGCGGGAAATGGAAGAGGCTGCTCGACTTCAGGGAGGCGGCGGTGTTGGAGATGTCACTGGTGGGAACGAAGACTACGCTGATAGGCCTCTGCCCGCTCTTCCTACCTTTCCTGCTGCTTCAGTTGGTGATACTCGTGGAGATCCGGGATACCAGGATCCGCGGCTCCGTTCCAAGAACATATTTCCTCCGCCAAAACCATCGCCTTCGCCTTCGCCCCCGCCCGAGAATAAGTCTACTACCAAGCACAAGCGCAAGAAGAAGGAAGCTCCCGTCGTACCAGATAGGCGTATGCCCACCGTCACCAGCACCGGAAGCCCAATCAGCAAATCGTCTCAACGCTCACGTGAACACAAGCGCCGACACTCACAAGAACAATGGAGACGAGACTCACAAGAAAAAAAGAGACGACGGGTAGAAGAACAACCAAGACGGAACTCTTACGAACAAACGAGCCAAACTTCAGAAGAGGGTGCATATGAACGACCAACAAAGGAGAATTACTACGGTAGAGGCACCGCCTCGGCCATAAGAACCATGAAGGAAGCCGATGAGCCATCGCCAGCGAGACAGCCCGTCGCCGAGAGACGGGGACGGGACATGAAGCAACTGGCCAACAGCTATCGAGAGGTGCGCGCCGCGCCGTGGCCCGAGGAGCCGATTATTCAACGACGTCCCACGCCTCCGCCCTCGCCGGAGCCGGAGAAGGCGCCAAAGAAGAGTGGCAAGCTGAAGGGCGTTTGGAACCCGTTTGGTAACAAGGATCGCCGAGACGATGTGGCCCATTAGGGGAGAGGCACCCGCCGCGAGGTTGTTTCTGACGCTCGTTCTGACGTTCAGTCTTTTGTGTGTTGTGACGCCCGTAAGGTGGAGAAAGGGGGATACCGTTACTAAGTGCATGGCGCAAGGAGACGAGATAGAGGAGGGAGGATGAGAGATATTTGGTGAGTGAATGCTTCATGTTTGTTGAACTATGTATGTGTTTTGAGCGGTTTCCTTGTTAATTGACATGGACAAATAGAGGCTTCTTCCCCTTTCCAAAAAATAAGAAGAACACGATGACCGAAAGCAAGCAACACGCAAAAGGGGGTCCGAATAGGCAACTCCTTTCTGGCCATCAAGTATTGTAACTCGGCCGGTAACAGATCCAACGACTGACAATCTGTATACGCGTAAGCTCAAATTGGTATCTGATGAAAGTACTCCGCCTGTGAAGTGATGGCGCCTGCCCGAATGCTTCCATGCCGTGGGGCCTTAATCCTTCGATATCTCTTCTGTTCGTCCGTAGCCTCCCTGTGATGGCTTCGCGAACCCCCTGATTTCTCTCATCTCTCTAAGTGGTAGGTAGGTAGGCGGAGTAGTAGGCGCTGGGCTAGCGCGTGCTATCTGGTTTCCGATAGGTGTGTGGGTTTGGTTGGATTTTTCATCGCAAGACCGAGGAAAGTGTTGTGTCGTCGGTTGGTCAGCGAATAGTTTATTGGGCCTTTCCGTTCTTGGCGTCACCGTTTGCCTTGGAGGCTCTGAACTTGGCAATCTCCTTCTCGACGGCCTTGTCAACGCGGCCCTTGAGCTCCTGGCGGTACCCAAGCTTGAAAAGGAACTCAAGCCAAACAAAGAGTGGGGCCAGGAAAACAGCCTGAACCAGGTTGTCCAACAGAGCCGGCGCGCGTCCCTCGAAGGCGCCGTGTCCGATGAACTGGAAGATCCAGCAGGCAATGTGAATGCCGATGGCGGCCTGGTTCGTCAAGGTAGGGTTCTCAACCCTGAAGTGGTTGCCAGCGGCAGTGGCGGCCAAGCAAATGATGGCCAGCAATGTGCCAGCCACAGGTTCGAGAAGCACATACAGACCACCCCAAGTCAGGGCTGCTAGTGTCCCCAAGTTGAGATCTAGATTAGGGACGGTGAGCCAGCTAGGGAGTGGAATGAGAGTTCCTGTGTTGGTGGCCTGGGGAAGTCTGCATGAGCTCAGATGCAAAGACTCGAGTTACGTCTCATTGACTGCTTACAAGGCAAAATCCGGAAAACAAGATGATGGGCACACATGCCATGTGAATGCCGATGTTGACGGTATTATGGTGGTAGGCACCATACTGTGAGGCCATTAGCAACCTGACTGACAACGTACTCCGGAAAGCCGGGCTGTTCACGAACAAAGGTCAAATGTTTTTCCAGGTCTAAAGACATGATGACGGTGAAAGAAGTGACGGATGGTGTTGAGACCTAAGCCAAGGGCGATGTGGTGGACTGAGAGCCGAGGTTTGTTGCAGGATAGATGCACCAAGACGAGGCTGGCTGCAGGGTCGAGGCTCAGCCGCGGGCGGATCGGCAACAGTTGGAGCGTGAGCGGACAGGAGGGGCTGATTGCGGTGCACTCTGGACCGGCCGTGTCGATCTCAAAAATTAGACAGCTCGTGGGTGCACTGTGGGCGACTGGGGAGAGAGCTGGTGATGTTGGCGACGTTGCGAATGATGGAAAATGAGGGAAGGCCGTCGTGTTCCGGACAGGGTTGCAATGGTGTTCATATGTGTCCCACCCAAGCACGTCGAGTTACCTTGCCTTCCGCCGAACCTTTGCGGTGCAAGTACCCGTGGGGCCCGCTGAGAGCGCGTTTTTACTCTTCGGTTCGGGGAGTTCGTAGGGAGTCCGCTGAATTTCCAGCAGCCCTGGAAGCGACAAGGGCCACCAAGGGCGTGCAACGGTGGCTTCTGACTGGAGATTTTGGGGGAACGAGTCCACTAAAAACCACTAAATGTGCACGCACCAGACATACGACAGACTTCCTCCACCCAATCTAACGTCGTGCATTTGTCGTGTGAGCGCGTCGGAGGCTGGGGAGGCTTGTAACCGACTCTTTTAATTGAGCTTGAAGGGCATCCGAATGTCAAAACGTTAGGCTGGCCACTTTTACGGAGTACAGCCTCCGTTGAATAACTCAAATTACCCTAGGTTGGATCCGTGCCGCAAGCCCAAATTGCGACGCCATCTCCAAACTCATTAGGGCTGCCATATCCGCGGCCCGAATGGCGCCACTTTTTGCATCCTGCTGGCATCTGACAGTGCACTTTGCAGCATCGCGATCCACGAATCGGGCTTGTCGCTCATTCTGTCAATTATTCAAGTCGCAACTTCCCGTCGATAGGTTCCGGAACATCGCGCTTACCCTTGCTTCGGAGCTACGAGCTTTCCGCCATGGGGTCTTCCGCGCTAGCGTAATTCTTTAGCGCAAGCGCGACAGGACGAGGTGTGCAAGGTGTGGTCGGTGAAAGGTGTGGCTTGCACTTCTGCCAAATCCACTTTTCCTGCCTGGGGCATGTGTAAATGTGGCTGCCCGCAGGCCAAAAAATTCAGGAGCCACTTCTCGCCGCAACAAGGCCATCTCAGCCTCGTCGGGTTCATCTCAGTACAACCTCTCCGTTCACCACCCGTCGAGTCACTACGCTGGCGGCGCATCTCCTACAGCGCATCACAGAGGAACCACCCGTCAAAGTTCCGACAACTCGCGCGTCTCCTTCATTCCGTCCTTGTGTATTTTCTTTCTCCGAGGCGTCCCGCGCGTGCAACCCTCTAGCTTCAACTTTGCTCGCGACTCCTGGCCCTACTCACCGGTCAACAATTGGAAGCCGCGCATCGATTGCTTTCCTCCACGCTTCCAATCGTGTCACTCGATCCCGGACCGATTGAGACCACGTCGATACGAGCACTAGAATTAGTCGCATTTAATACGGGGAGCTTGCGTTGATAACGCGCCTACGCGTTGTTGGAGGTTGGACACGGGTAGCATCGCTGACGACGACACGACGACGATCCGCTTCTTTCCCCTGAGCACGTTGCGCCGCAGAAATCGCCACGATGTTCTTCCTCTACAACATGGAGCGCAGGGTCACCCTGCATCCCTCCTACTTTGGCCGGAACATGCACGAGCTGGTGACGAGCAAGTTACTGAAGGACGTGGAAGGCACCTGCGCAGGAAGCTACTACATCATTTCCATCATGGATACCTTCGATATTTCCGAGGGTCGCATTCTTCCGGGCAGTGGCCTGGCCGAGTTCACGGTGGGATACCGAGCCGTGGTTTGGCGACCCTTCAAGGGCGAGACGGTAATTGCTACAAATCTGCCTGGCTTTGTCGGGGAAGCGGCTTCTGACATGAACCCAGGTTGATGCTGTGGTCTACTCAGTCAACCACCAGGGCTTTTTCGCCCAGGCGGGACCTCTGCGGTTATTCGTGTCGGCACATGTAGGTTCTCGCTTCCGCGCTGGCCAGGCAGTACCTTTTCGTCGATAACTAACCGCTGCCGTTTCTTTACCAGCTGATCCCGTCCGAGATCAAGTGGGATCCCAATGCGACGCCGCCGCAGTTCACCAACAATGAGGATACCATCATTGAGCCAGGAACCCACGTGCGCGTAAAGGTGATTGGTACGCGCACAGAAGTCGGCGAGATGTGGGCGATTGGCAGCATCAAGGAGGACTATCTAGGGTATGTCAATATCCGCGAAGCTATGATTGGGCCTCACTTACGAATCCTTGCAAAAGCTGCCTCCAGGACTAAATGTCACCCCCGATGGGAAAGAGTAAGGAGACGGGCCACCACGAACGACCACGCCCAGCGCGACCTATACAGACATCGGTCGGCGAGAGGTGGGTATTCGACACTCTACGCGAGTGTATCCTTGGCCGATCATGGCAACAAGTGTTGCTACCGCGCAGAGCAATCCTTTTGGACAAGGCCCAGACGAAATATCGAGAGAGTCGTCTTTGGGCCACAAACGAGACATCGCTACGCTGACCAATCTGCATCCGGGAAGCAAAAGATAGAGAAAAGTTTGGAGAGAGAATAAGAGGGCATACACATGCCTACATCGCACATCGCTGGCGCGTTTTTTGCGATCCGCAGCATCAGATCTGGGTTCCGTCTTGAAAGTTGTACAATAAGCTGTTGCTTTCCTACACTCAACGAAATAAAAAAGAGCAAAGCTACGAGCACACACAACATCGCCCAGGGTGGACTCTGGCGCGGTCGTTTAATCATGGCCACAAGTTGGAATTCCGAAAGTCTACACTTGTGACAAGATTTATGTTCTTTCTGAAGCTTCGGAGGTCTCAAGCTTCAACTAACTGCGCACTCTTATCTAGGTCCCATCTAGGTCCCTTGCCTTACGTGACATAAGGTAAGGTACCTTACAATAGCAAGCACCTGAGTTTGCTGAGGTTGCGGGAATTCGGCTAGCTCCGCCCGGACGCCCATTTCCCCCACGTTTCCTTCCTAGCTCTGATAGACCAATGCCCCCAATCGCAATTAACAAATTACCCCGCCGCCTGAATATCTCCGTCTCGTGGGTCTTGCTCCCTTTTTACCAGGCACAGTAACAAACCCGCTTTAACCTACCCTCCCGGCCCGCCTCTATCTATAATCCGCGTGCATGCGTAGATGGGGCCCGCGGCCGGCTTTCCCCCCGAGAATCAGTAAACCACCCCCGCACCAGAGTGACCAGACCTACGCGTATCTGACATAAGGCGCGGGTGACACATTGGGGGTATCATGATCCGATTCCGGTGTTTGGTTCACATCGTGACGCATAAACAATAGCAACATTTACGAAAGAAAAAGAGTGTTGTCTGACGTCGCACAAGACCTGTTGTTACCGCCCTCTTTGCCTTGATCAAATAATTGAATTATACTTTACTAAGACAATACATTCCCCAATACGAAGCAATGTCAGCGATGCAAGCGGCCAACAAGCTCCGGACGGCTTTTACCAAGGGCACCGGCCCTAGCTTCGGGTTGTGGCAGATGATTCCCGGCGCCAATGTCTCGCGGGTGCTTGCTCGGAGTCCTGGCGTGGACTGGGTTTTGGTTGACTGTGAGCATGGAAACATTGATGGTGAGTATTGATCTATCAGAACCCCTTGATGCTGGACTCGATGATTATGATGAGAGCTGACTTTGTTTGTGTCCCCCTTCCAGATGGCGCCATGCACGATGCCGTCCCTGCTATTGCGGCGGCTGGTGTATCTCCCATTGTGAGGTTGCCAGATATGCAGAGTTGGATGGTGAAGCGTAAGGAAACACCCCTTTTCATTGATCGGTTCACACATTTGGAGGCCAACCAGAACTAACAACTTCTCTAGGGGCTTTGGACTGCGGCGCTCACGGGGTAAGCAAGTGGTCTATGCGAATGGGGGAGAACGTTTGATTTATATGGCGGTATCTTGAAGAGAGAGAGAGAGAAGCTTGGCTGACGTTTGAAAAGATCCTCGTGCCGCTGCTCCGGACCGCCCAGGAGGCAAAGGACCTCGTGCAATCGGCCAAGTTCCCGCCGTGGGGACGACGTGGGTTCGGGTCGCCTCTCGCCATGGAGCGCTTCAGCCCGGCGCCCAGCATGACGGAGTACCTGCAGCAGGCCAACGACAGCCTGTTGACGATTGTACAGATTGAGACCAAGGAGGCTCTCGAGTCCATTGATGAGATCGCGGCGGTGGAGGGTATCGACGCGCTCTTCATTGGACCCTTTGATCTTGGTTAGTTCAGTCCACTCATCTAAGCCATTTCCTTGGCCTCTCTTCGTTTGGACCTTGAACAACCTCAGCTGACCGGCATCATAGGAAACAACATTGGTCACCCGGTGATTAACGGCGTCATCGAAAAGGAGTTGAGTGATGCTATTGAGCGCATCCTTGAGGCGACTCACAAGGCGGGTAAGAAGGCCGGCATCTTCTGCACAAGCGGCGAGCAGTCCAAGTTCTTCGCGGATAAGGGATTCGACATGATTAGTGTGGCGACGGATTACACGGCATTGCAATACACAGTATCGGAGTCATTGAGCATGGCCAGGGGAGGGGCGAAGCCGGCCAAGGGTGGATCGTACTGAATGATGCCGTAGGAGTAGGAGATGCCTAGAGATTCTCGAGAGTAAAAGGGTATCGAATATGGTAGGGGAGTAGGCTGTGCTGCTTGGTCGACCAAACTCTTGGCTCGCCCGCTGGCTACCTCCTTTGAGCCAAGCAACGCTGCGGCCGTTCTGGTTGAGTCAAAATGATAATCTTCACACACTTTTCACTTTCCTCCTTCTACTTGGTCCATCTTGGCTTCGATCTGATCTGGGTCGAATCGATGCATGAGCTTGACAGCTTTGCCCACGAGTTTGACGTCTTCTTCAGGGGCCTCGGCTTTGCTAATGTGGATCTGGGGTAAAGGGGCACACGTCAACAGATGAGAAAGGTTGAAAGGTTCACTTTTGCGGGAAACTTTTGCGAAGGTGGACGTGCGTCATCGGATGGCCTCCTTCTCATCCCACGCGGCAAGGGAAGAAGGATGAACTTACCACGGGCACGTCGAAATCGTAAAGGTCCCTCCATTTCTTGTTTTCCGGCTTCGTGATCACGACTTCCGTGTAAGCAAAGGGCCGGCGATCCCACACGTTGGAGAGTGCCGATTTGGCCCGCACACACAAGCCGCACTCATCGCGAGAGAAAAGGGTGATCCGACATGGTTGGACCTTTTGAAATAAACGTCGTGTTGGTGCAAACATGTTTATGAGAGCTGCAGATCAAATGGCAAGTCTACTGTGGATGTCTTGCGATTAACTCGTAATCTGACGTTTATCCCACCAGAGTGTGTGGACGCAGCATACACCCAAGCTGGGAAAGGAAGGAGGCTCGAAGGCTGTGAAACAGCATCGTTCTCGGTCAGCTGGGAAGATAAGATGGGGGAGGGAGAGAAAGGATGGGAATGTCAAATATGATGACTGGCACCAGGGATCATGGAGAAATGGAGTTGGGGTTGAGCTGGAGGGGCGTACAATGTCTGTGGTCGTATTTGATGTATGTCTGTGAGATTCAAAGTAAGATGATGTGACCTGCCACTGCCTGCAAGTTGCGAAGGTGTGGAGAGAAACGCCCGTTTGTTATCGTTTCGAAATAGTCCGATTGAATGAATGATTGGATCCGCCACGAGAAAAGCAAAGTTGCTGCTCGTCCCAGTCTGTCTTGTGATGATGAAATGGGCAAAAAAAGGTAAAAGTGTGGGATGAAGATGTCTGGTCTTTTTTGGGTCCTAAGTTTGAAGTTTCCGACTGAACTTCCACCCGGCCCGAGTTGCAACTCTGAACCTGCAAGGACAAGGCCGGGTGTGACCTGCCACATCTTCGGTCGATTGTTGCCGAATATGGTCGCATATGGACCTCTTCTTTCGGAAGGCGGTGAAGACCTTGAAGCAGCCGCACCCCAGCGCTCGTTATCCATCTCTAGCGAATCAGCAGGGAGATTTGCCGGAGCTTGTGCCAACATACATAATTTTGAGCCGCTAAATCACAGTGACGACCCCTGGGAAATTCTGGAATCCTGGAGAACATAGCAACCCCTCCATCAACGACGACCACCCCTCACTCATCACTTCCACTTACGGGGGCTCCTTTCGACAATTTACATCCTGCCAGACCCGCCGCCTCTTTCATCCACACCAATTCTCAAACGTCACCCGTCGTCAATCCTGAATCTTGCTCATCCTTAACAATTTTTCTTTCCCTTCCTTCCACTCCAATTGTTTGGGGAATCATTGTGTGTCCGGCAAACTTCGATTGCATCTCACCTCAGCACGCGAAAACGGTAGCGAAAGCCAAGCAGCACAAGCTCATCCCGCCAGCCCATCATGGCAGAAAAGTGCGTCCACCAGGGCTGCGGCAAGCTCTACTCCGATACAGAGGAGCCATGTGTCTACCACCCTGGTCCTCCCGTCTTCCATGAAGGCCAGAAAGGTACTCACTCCTAAACCCCCCATCACCGCACAAACTCTACACAAGTACTACGCCATATTCGATGGAGAACGCGTCCTTCCCGTTCTTGTCCCGTGCGGATGTCATGGGATTCCCCCTCTTTCGTCCAATTGCACATCTCATATTCCTTGCTATGAGCCCCGTTCAACCGCAATCAATCGCATTGGAAACATTTCACACGAGACACCGCGGCTAACCTCATTCACCGCTACCAAACAGGCTGGAAGTGCTGCAAGCCCCGTGTCCTCACCTTTGAGGAGTTCATGACCATCCCCCCCTGCACAACCGGCAAGCACTCCACAACCGACCTCCCCCCAAAGATCGAGCAGAAGCCCCAAGCGGACCCCGCGGACGCACCCTCTTTCCTCGATAAGCTCGCATCGGCAGCGGAACCGGCACGCAAGCCCCTCTCCCAAGCCACAGCCGCTCCCTCCCCTCCGCCTCCACCCCCGGAGTCCGAGTCCGACGACGCTTCCCTCGAGATCCCCGACGGGACCACCTGCCGTCGCAAGGCCTGTTCGGCTACCTACCGCAAGGCCTCCTCGCGCGATGGCGAGTCTTGCGTCCACCACCCTGGCGTCCCCATCTTCCACGAGGGCTCCAAGGGCTACAGCTGCTGCAAGCGCCGCGTTCTTGAGTTTGACCAGTTCATGAAGATTGAGGGTTGCAAGACAAAGGGTCGTCACCTGTTTATCGGGAGTGGCAAGAAGAAGAACGCGTCGGCAGCTGGCGGCGAGGAGAAGCTTGATACAGTTCGCACCGACTTTTACCAGACCCCTTCTACCGTCATCGCCTCCTTTTTCCTGAAGAAGATCGTCAAGGATTCGGCCAAGATCGAATTCAAGTCGCAGTCCATCGCACTCGACCTGCCCACCTCAGACTCGCCGCCCAAGCGCTACACCACCGAGGTACCTCTGTTTGCGCCAATCGATACGGAAAAGTCCACCTTCAAGGTGCTTGGCACGAAACTTGAGGTGAACCTTGCCAAGGCCGGCGGTGAGTCGTGGCCTGTCCTGCGCAGTGACGACCGTCTCACTGGTGAGATATTACAAATCGGCAAGGCGGGGCGCTTGCAATAGTCCTAAGACACCACCACATGTACGGACTTACACTCTCGCGCACTCACGTTTCCCGGGAGAGCATTCATGCGGCCCATCGGAGTTAGATGGTTTACGCCCCCAGGAGAAACGTCAGCCAAAAGAGACGATAAGATGACGCGAGAGAGAAGCGAATGAGGAAACACGTGTGTGAGACACGGGCGACCTCTAGACGCACAGGGGGAAAAAAGAAGATACAAGAGAAGGACACAAGATACCTCTAGAAGGGTATGTGAGACACTCATGTGCCACCCAAGGATGCGGTAGCTACTGTAATCCAAGAAATCAAAAAAACGTAAAACAGGAAGAAAAAGTTCAAGACATGCTCCTTGGCTCTGGACCCCCACCTCTCCCAAGCTCTATGGCTCTATGGCTCTTTCGTTTTTTGATGACGCCTCTGACTCAACTGGAATGCGTGCTATCTTCCTAGCCCATCACCGTGCGGCGTGCTCAAAGGCCATGCTCTGAGAGGTCCGGAGGAGGACAAGGCCCTTGGGGATCGACTCGAGCCGTGATCTGGTATGTGCCACGGCATGTGACCAAGGTCTTGGCAGACAAAACGTGATACGCGGCCTCCTCTGTTGACTCGGTGAAAATCCGTGTGAAATGGATCTGCTTTCCCAAAGATCGGATAGAGGGACTGGGACTACTCCGTACATTGATCAGCCTCGCAAGAAAGCGGCCTCCAACCCAGCCAAGTTCCAGCAAGCCCTGCCACCCCTGAGCACGAGCACTGTTTGTCTCGTCCACGGATTCGTTCGTCCAACACTTGGAAATCAGAAATGCTCTCACCGTGTGTCACCTTGGGCCTTTTTTTCTTCTTTTTTTTTTCTCTGCTTGAGATAACCATGGTAGAACTGCGCTTCAGGTTTAATGTTTTCAAGAATACACATGCCTACGGATAAGAATCCGTGCGCCTTCTGCGCTTTTGCGACATTGTCGCCAGCGGCGTCAACTAACGTATCTGTACCATTTTTTTGTTGAGATCGACGATGGAAGTGATGATCCGTGGATAAAATGTTCACGGCCCGGCTAACAGAACGTCGAACAATGTCTTGGTATTCGAACCGCTGTCCATTGCGTCTTGTTGGCGGTCGGATTTTCCTTTACTCTTTTTCGAAGAAAAAAATTAATTTGGTCCATGTTTGTGTCTAACTTGCACTGCCGCCTTCGTTGTACTTCTCTAGAATGCCGCGATTGCTCTTTGCCAAGCAGTCGGAAACGCTGCTAACGACTCGGGTGGCACATGGGGGTGGTTCACCAAACTACGGAGTACCTACCTCATTCACCAAAGACATCACTTTACTTAGCCTGGAAGACAAAGTTGGCGATCATCATGACGGGTTCCTCAAGTGCCGATGGACGGTGTGTAGTGGCTGGTGCCAATGCTTTTACCTTGTCACGCTTGTAGTTGCCCGTGTGTAAATTGTGTGTAATGCTCTCAATTGGCTTATCTGATTTTCTCAATCTACCTAGTACCCTAGCCAAGCTAGCTAGCTTGCTGTCCCTCCCCCCTTACGGAGAGTTTCCTCAACAGCTTTTTTCTGTGAAAAGCAAACCAAGGAAAGCCAAGATTGTAAGGGGACGTGAGTACCCTCCTCCGGCAAACCACAAGTATGTGTGTGCATGTGAGAGAACAACACACACACACCAAGGCAGTTCCCGGAGTCCCGATGCAGCTCTACCCGCAAACTAATACCGACGCTAGTGATAACACCCCTGGCACGACTGACATATCAGATAATCAGTCAGAACGAAAGAAAAGCCAGGGGGTGGGGAATTTTCGATGACTGTGGAAAATAAAATCAAAAAAAAGTCTTGGCTTGTTGCGGCCTGATGCAATTGTGCGAAAAACCACAGATTGATAAACCTTTTCCAAACTCCGAGCCCAGCTGCCCATGCAGCCAAAAACTTGCCAGGGATGATGGACGCAGGCACACGAGGCACGGATGGTGGTGCGCGCTGCACACACCGTCCGTACCTAGTGTCGAGTCAACCACCCCCCATAAACTGCATCACCCAAAACGCCAAGCCGGTGATGTGGATACAAGAGGCATGACAACACGTAGATTAGGAATCAGTGAAGAAAGAAAAAGAGAAAAAAGAGGTATGCAGGGGAGGTCGAGTGCCGCCGCCACAAGAATGTGGAAAATGTTGGAATCCGTGGAACGCATGCTGGTAAAAGAGAAAAGAATTGGAGCCCTCAATGAAGCGGACTCCGTCGCCCCCGCTGGGCCGGCGTCCGTTGATGGAAACGCCCTTCCACTGCCGCGTCAGGATCGGCTTCGTGCTCCGCTTGGCTATTGCCACGAACTGGTCCGTCTTGGTGATACGGCCAAGACGGTGAAGTCGGCGCCCGCCCGGTAGTCAGGTGACAGTGGCTTTGCTCTCTAGCGCGGGAAGGGAGGACGTGTGCCAATGTGCCCGTCGGAGCTAGCAATAGACTATACAGTCGTAGCTCTAGACCAGCCGCCGGCCGCTCCATATATGGCAGGGATCATCTTGATAAGGGGCCGAAAGGGGATAAAGCCAAAATGGGTAGGACGCGAGCCAGTGGAGAATAAGGCTTCAGAAGGGCTGTGCCGTGACTGGGCGGTAACGGGCGTTGTTGGTCATAGTCGTCCAGATATGTGTATCTGTAAGCTGGAGACTGCAGTGTAGGAGTGGTAATGGCGACCCGTTTCTGCAGGGACGCTGCTCGTTTGTGCCTGGTGTTATGACGTGGGGTGTAGCCGTAGGCGGCTGATCTGACGGGATCTAGACTTTTGTTTTTGACTTCGCCGCACCAATGCAAGGGTGGAGCCTGCCCGCTGCGGGATGCAACGGAACCGGCGCCCCTCACCCTCAACCCGTGCTCTTAGTTGCCGGGTTAGGAGAAGGCGCTCTCTCGTCTGTGCCGTTGTAAATCAGCTGGAAGCCATCGCGGCGGCAGATGACAATGGGCTTGTCGTTGGAGCAGCGCCCGATGATTTCGCTATTGTTCGGCAAGTTGTAAGGCACTGCGTCCTTGAAGTGGATGATTGGGCCGCCGTCCATCGTGAGCCCGATAATCTCTGCTCCCTGAATACCGTCGTCCTCATCAGAAGACTCGGCTTGAATAGTGTTTCTGTATCTCGTGTTAGCATCCATGTTTTCATCTTGGCGGGGGGAGGTTGGGTAGCAACCAATTTCCCGGGGTGGAAAGGTGCACGTACACTTGGCTCATGGGGAGCGTTCCGGCGTCGCTCATCTTCCTCTTTCTCGCTGACGCCTTGACTCTTCGGACCATGCATGTGTGGAAGTAGTGGAACAAACCCGCGATGACCAAGACGGGTGTGCCGAGAGCCAGAGCCCATGGACTGTGATGTTACGTTAGCAAAAAAGATGAGGCTTGCAAGTATGGCAGGGAGGCTACACACGGGTTCTTGCGTTGTCTCAGCTGGTGGACAAGGGCCAGAATGACTCCGCATACTGCAATGAGAGATCCGACCTGAATCATGGTGAAAGTTGACCAGTACAGCGACATGAGGTCCTCGCCGTCACAGAATTGCAATGCCATCAAGGTGAAGACCTCCATGATGACGGTAGCTAACGAGACGCAAACGCATCCCAGATTGAACCAGATGCAACGCTTGATGGCTTTTTTCCGTTTTGCGTCCGTCTCGGGGAGTTCGCTCACAGCGTCCAATGTCCTGAACAGTTGGTCAGTGAGACTGTTTGAGAAGAAATGACCGTGAGACGCAACGGGTTTTGCGGGGGAACTCACCGTGTGTAATTCCATGCTGCCAGGAATAGGATGAACAGATTGAAAACGAACAAAAGCCAGTACATGACATCGAATTGCCATCTATCCAAGTGAGATGCGAATCTGGCGTAGTGCTCACACCGCACAGGGTCGTAAGGCGTAAAGTCTTCTTCGTTGGCTGCCATTGTGACTGTTATGTGTTGGTGTAGTTGTTGTGTGTTGTAGAAGATGCGTTCACGTCTTCTTTTGAAATCGTCTGGTGCTCCGGATGACAGAGCGTTGATGATATTGGCACTTGACAGATGGTGATGCAAGAGGCTCTGCTTCTTTATAGGTAAAGAGGCTCGTTTTGTAAAGTCACCGATCTGCAGGGTTATGATGAGTCGGTGCGGACTTGTCCAGGCTTGCGTGTGCGAAAAGGGAGGCGCTTTCAGTCAGGCTCTGATGGCGGGCAGGGGTCGTCGTGGTCCTAAGTCTGCCGAGGGGCACCCCGGTGTGTTCGTTCAGAGTGCAGACTATGAGGTGAGGGGTGTATTCTGTACGGTGGAGGTCTATACCAAAGCTCCTATGGCTTGTCAAGCAGAAAAGTGAGATTAGCTCAGATTGAGATGGCAGAATGGCTCGTCACTGCCAGGAGACTACTGCAGTTCTGCAGTCAACTAGAGGCCGTTCGCTCCACTCGGTCTTACACCAACATGTGGATCCAAGGCCAAGGTCAAACTCATCTTGTCACCAATGATGCACCGATGCTGAGTCGAGAGGGGAGGTAGGCCAGGAATAGTGCTTGAAACAAGACGATAGTGACAGCGTCGTCGACATGGCTGGTTGGTGATCCGCATGTGGATGGCGATGCTGTCTGGGCGATGTCTGGGCAGTCTCTTGGCAAGATGCGCGGGATAGGACGTAGATTGCCGATCTGTAGGCGGGCCTTTGGTGACGGCGCATGTGCATTTGGATTGGTCGGCCGCCGCATTATTCTCCGGACTAGGGGGGGCTTAGCAACGACGTCCAGACTTTGCAACTCAGTTGCACAGATATTCCATGGTTCCCTGAGCTCCAACTGACGAGCTTCCCTTGTCCAACATTCAATTCTTTCCCCCATCCAATGCCCGCATCGACGCCGTCAGTGGGAGGCCACCCCGCGTGCCCGCAGTGGCCGCGAGTCTCATCAACGAACCCTCAACTCGACATGTGTTCCTCAACTCATTCCCTCCATCAGCTCAACTCTGTCAAGCATCATTCCCTTCAGACCAAGATACTCCTTTAGCGAGTCCCACTCAATACCGCCTTCCTCACCGTGTCGCCATTGCTCTCTGTAACCCCAGGCGCACGCAATGTCATCCATTCCCGCACGCTCTTCTTCACGTAGCCAGCGCTGGTGCAACGGGATACCGGGCGCCCAAGTGACTCGTCGCATATGATCATTGACAGTGGTTTTGGCAACCATGCCAATTGTCGCCGTGAACCCCAAATAAGCCAGGATGGCGGCGAAGGCGAATTTTGTGGCCGTCACGGGCTCCATTGTGTTCTGGAATGCCGAGAGATTGGAGGCGAGAGTGTAGACCCCAAAGGGTGCCACTGCCACGGCCGAGACGGGCAGAAGCGTCTTCCGCAGAAGCTTTTGGCGGTAGAATGCTTGTGTTGCGTAGCAGGCCTCAACGATGCCAATCGCAGCGTCCAGATTCTTGGCGTCGATGGCGGCCCCCAGAGCTGTTTCGGCCACACTTGCTTCGATTGCCTTGTCTGCTCTATTTGGGTTCTGCTGAACATAGGAGATTGCGCCCTCGACCGCCTTTGGTTTGGGCTTTGACGCATACAATTCGAAAACATGGGGAAGTGTCTCGGGCCTGCCAAGCCTAGCTTGGATGTTTACGTATAAGTCCAAGACCTGGGGACCAATGGAAACGGTGGGGTGGGCGATAATTTCGTATGCTGACTCGGAGATTGTGTCGACTGTATCCTTGACAGAAACTGACGGGATCGACGCGCTACCAGATTTAGCTGCAGTCGAGTTCGAGTCCAGGGATAACAGATTGGAAGCGGTCGATGCTGTGAGTGTCGAGGCCGGACGATTCTCCGACCTGGATAGATAGGGTTGAATCGCATTTGCGGCGCCTTGGCACGTTTTCAAGGCTGCAATGACGAGCTGTGGAGTGGGAATTCCGTCCGTAGAGAGGAAGTGCTTTCTGCTCTGCTGAACCACGGCCGCCAGCTTGCTCAGATCAGGGAGTTCCTTGGACGACGGACTGGCCGTTGCGGGCCTCTCGTGACCATTCTTTTTGGAAGCCGAAGCAGATACCGTGCTCGCCAGGCGACTTTTCTCAAAACTCCGTCTCAATGTGGTATTCTCGTAGAGCTTGGCAGATCGGAGAGGGACGATCGAAGGGACGTTTGGCTTGGCGGTATGTTGCAGTCGAGTCTGTTGACCGGCGCGTGATAAGCCCACGCATGATTGACAAACGAATCGAGGCTGGCGAGCCGCTGGCCGGACGAAGGCGGTCCGTATCATCTTCGTGGCGGGGAGATAGGGCGCGAGGTCGGATCTTGGAGGAGGATAAGGAGCGTACGCGTCTTCGGCGAGTGAGGATTGGACGATCTAAGGCAGACAAAGAGCGAGCGGGCGTGAAGTCGTAGATTGGGCTCTCTGGGCTGCAGCAGTAGGGTGAACAGCGAAGCAGTCGAAGTAGGTGATCCGTTTCGTAGCGAGGCAAGCCAAGAGAATCAAGCAAAAGGGGGCCGTCGGGCGGGTGAGGCGGAAGCCGCAGAGGACAAGCAACCGGGAGAGGCCGTCTTGGGACTTGGTACTGGTCGAGGAGAGAAGGCCGACAAAGAATCCCGGGTGATGTGAGGCGCTGGTACCGTGGGACGGTGAGATGAAGCAAAAATGGAGGACGGGAAAGACTCTCGGAGCTCTGGACGCGACGGAGGTTCCGGGGAAAGCTGGGAGCTCCTGCAAAATTTCCACCTTGAGCCCCATACCCCCCATTAGCACGTCGTCTAATTACCCGCACCTGCCCCCCTAGCCTTACAGGCGATCATTCACGCGGCAGGGAGGCTCTCGCAGCTCGGGACAACGCGCCGCGCCAATGGAATTAGCAGGCACCCCTCCTAGGCGGGGTCGTCTTGGGGCAAGTACAGAAGAGTACAGCGCCCAGCCAATACTTGAAGGTGCACTGAAGAAACGTGGCCGGCAGCAGCCACAGCCGTCCACTGGCGTTGCATGCCGAGTGTTCTGAGAGTCTGCGCACCTCTTTGGCGCGAACTGCTACACTGCCACTTCACTCACACCGTCTGCTGCGAGTTTCTCAACACCATTTCTTCCAAGACGTTAAAGCTGTAGATCTTTATTGTAGCTCTGCATTAGAAAGAGTTCAACATCTCTAGCAGTCACTTGGTCTTTTGGGTCTATTCCGGTTTATTCCGCAAGATGTCTTGGCTTGCGTGAGTGCTCATACCCAGGATCACTATTCTTGCCGTGCGCCACATCGCACGCTTACGTACTTCCCAGCCACAGGTACGTGGAGAGACATGTGAGGCTGATGGGCCCAGAAGCTACTTTCGCTGCGGTGTCGTCTGCCCGCCAGCTGGAAGTACTTCGGACCAGGCAGGCGCCTCAGCCCACTGGGACTGCATCGATTGCACTGCCAGCGCCTAACAGCACGCCGCCTTTGAGTGAACGACCAAGATACTGCCCGAAGATGACGAAACACCACGCGGCTGACAAGCGACCCCAGAGTACCATCATCCCATCGACCCTTGAAGACACTCTGATCGAACCCCTCAAGAGCCTCAATTTCCTCCTGCTATTGAAACAGCACCCTGTCGCTCGATTCTACTGTATCTGAACGACATCCCTCGCCCACCCTCGAAACCGTTGACTCCGTCCTACCAAGCCCGACTTGCATGAACCTCCGCCCAATTCCGGCCGACGACCTAACCACCATCGACCACCTCTCCATCGGTGAAAGTCAACCACAACAACAATCATTCACATCGAGATTGAAAGCGAAAATACATAAAACTCACAGGAGCAAGCTTCATCATGCCTCCTCCACCTCCGCCGCCGCCGCCGATGCCTGCGATGGGCGGCCCTCCTCCGCCCCCTCCGCCGCCAGGAGGTCCTCCTGGAGCTGGCAATCTACCTGCGAGACTACCACCAGGAGGTAGAGTACGTGTTTAAAGCTCAGAACGAGAAGTGGTTGTCTTGTCGCAGCATCATACTGATATGGGTTACAGGGCGCTCTCCTCTCCGACATCACAAAAGGCAAGGCTCTCAAGAAAGCCGTTACGAACGACAGATCCGCGCCGGTAGTTGGAGGTTCGTCTGGCGGCGGTTCCTCCGGAGGACCGCCTCCAGGAGGTGCACCACCTGTCCCTGGCTTTGGCGGTGCTCCTAAACCTCCCGGCGGCCTCGCCCCTCCAGTGCCCGGAAATCGAGCTAGAAGCAACAGCGACCAGAGCGGGCGAGAAAGCGCGCCTGCGCCGCCCTCGCAGGCGGCACCACAACTAGGGGGACTCTTTGCGGGAGGTATGCCGAAGCTGCGGAAGACTCGTGGCGCCGTTGATACTGGTGCTTCTATGGACTCGTCGTATCTGTCGGATCCCGAGAGCAACGTGCGGTCGTCTTCCGCGCCGAAGCCACCCACGTTCGGAGCACCAAAACCTCCTGGCGGTGCGGCGCCGGCCCCACCGGGAAGGCCGCCTCTACCACCTCCCAACGCCGCGCCGGCCCTACCACCATCCATTGCCAACTTGCGCAAGACACTCAGCGATCTACCCAGGCCAGGCTCGTCAGCATCGATGAAAGGGCCTCCACCTCCTATAGGCAAGAAGCCGCCGCCACTACCAGCATCCCGGAAGCCCTCTACTACGCCCAACCATCCTCCTCCGTTACCTGGATCATCTGCTCCAGGAGCACCCCCTCCACCACCTCCATCGTCTGCTCCAGCACTTCCATCCGCACCCCCCTCAGCGCCGCCACCACCCCCTGCTGCTGCTGCTCCCAGAGCTCCAGCACCATCGCCTCCGTCGAGGTCCCCAGCGCCTCCACCTCCTCCACCGGCCTCAAACGGACCTTCGCCGCTGGCAATGCAAGCCGCCTTACGAGCAGCCGGGCAAGCATCTCCAAGTGCTGCTCCCCCGCCTCCCCCATCAGCGGCTCCCTCGCCCCCCGCCTCTGCACCTCCCCCACCAGCAGCACCCCCTACGAGGGCCCGTGCTGGTTCTGGTCTGCGATCTTCTATGCTGGATCCAAGCGCCTTCACTCTTGCTCCCAATGGTGCTAAGAGTCCAAGCCCTACTCGAACGAACACGATGAGCAGTCTCAATGTCGGCGGTGGGGGTCAACGATACATCGTACAAGATCCTCGATGGAAGTTCCAGGATGATGCTATGTTACCAAAGCCAAGGGACTTTGTAGGCGGTCCCAGACGATACAGAGCTGGCAGAGGCAGCAGTGTCCCTCTCGACCTGAGCGCCCTGTAAGGAGCGGACTAGATACGAACTATTCCGCAGCCTGATCGGCATCAAGCTCTATCAAAGTTTGAGTCTAGAGTGGCGGACGGCCTCGGGCAATCTACATGAATCGAACGATCCGCACTACTATGGCTCCCGGTGGAAACGCGCCCCTTGTTGCTGCATACAAGTCTTCCGGATGAGAGTCCAAATGAGAGACGGAGACGAATGCTATTTCGACGCCTTCTGCCGGTGAACTATTGTTAGTCACCAACTTGAGGATATTCCAGAGGATTCGGACTCCGCGAGATCCTTACACAACGGGACAAGCATTCGCAACACATCCTGAAGGCGTCGTCGTATCGGGACTTCTTGGCCCCGTTGCCTTGGCGAAACGATCGACTGAGACAAATCTAGATCTCTCGGATGTACTCGTATTGGGAATCTCTTGGTCTTCTTGGTACTCTTGGTACTCTTGGTTCCAAGAACCATGGTTGCTTTTCGAATGCTTAGACTCAACGTCCTTTCCTTCGGACGGAACGGGGGGTTTCTACAGATTCTCTTACAGGGTCGTCAGGGACTTTGAGGGGGAAACAGGCTTGGCATGCAAGCAAGCATTCAACAGCGATCTGAAGAGGAAAGGGGCCAGGGGATCACGTCATTCAGGAGTGGCATCACGCTAGCGAGAAACTCGGTCTTTCTAGAAAATTAGACATTGGTAGAAATCAAGTTACTTACAACGTCCGGGAGGTTTTCTCAGGATCTAATCGTTGCTGGTAGATTGATTACCAAACTGCTCAACTTGACGAAATAGGTAAAACAGATGCGAGTGTGGAACCGCCGCCCTGCACTAGTCACCTCCCCGTCCGTATATGCCCGATGGGAAGAATATTCAACCCAACTCGGTCACGATTAGATATTCCAACAGACTGACAACCCCTGTTGTCCAGTTGAGCCTGAACGTGGTCGAGGTATCCGGCTGAACTTTCCAACTCTGGAAGCCCACCCCATCGTGTTTCTACGCTTCACACAGCCTCCTTGACATTGGTAATCAGTCAGTCTTTCGGCCTATCCTAGAAAAAAGACTTGACAAGCACGCAAGCAACGACACAAATGTTGAGACGAGACTCTCACACACACTCGACCCGCGTAAAGTTGACCGGTTGAGCTCAGTCTCAGCATCTGTAACCGAAACTTGCTTCGACGCGACCCCCAAAAAAAGAACTGAAAGTTGAGAAGAGAAAGAAAAGAAGTAGGAACCCAAGAAAACCCAAAGGGATCCAAGTTACACAAGAACTTGCAAGGCTCAGGCTCAGGATCAGGCTCCGGCTTCAACGTCCCAAAACAGGCATCATACGAACTCCTCGGGGTCCGGGGAAACTTGACTGCCCACAGAGAGACGGCATTTATCACATGCACAACATACGTTAAGCGGCGTCCCCGGGAGACGAGGAATTTTTTACTAAACCGTGCTCCTTTGATTTATTAAAGCTACCCCGTTGCTGTCCCGCAATTGAGGGGTTTCAAATGTGTCCGCCGGCCGATCGCTGCAGAGAACGATGAGAATCACTTAACCTATGGGGCCAATAGCCCTCGTCGAGGTACGATCGATAACCTCACACCTTTGAACAACTCCCCACCCTGATGCTTCAAGCAAATCGAAAAAAGGAACCGTACGTGGAAAACCCCCCTGAACTGGACCTAGACAAGAAAAAGAAAAAAGCTTTCACGCCATGCCGGCCCAGATCCTTGGCTAGTATTCCTCCACTTCCACTCCCACACCCCAGATCATAGATTGTTGATCATTTCAGATGAAGATTCAAGAACGAAAGACTCAGAAAAAAAAGATTGATAATGTCCCCGCACCACGCAAGCCCCCCCAGGTTTGAACTCCCGTTTTCGTTTGCCAGGCATATTCCGCGTTTCTTTCCCCCGTTTAGGAAGAAGAGGTATCCATGAAGATGAGATAAAAAAAATTGCAGTCGTCTATATTCGTCAATGTCCGCGCTCATACCCGTTCGTGACGAAAAGAGAAGAAAGCCGACAGCAGGTGTATGAAGAAAAAGGCCCGGAAGCCCACAAGGTCCAGTAACCCCGGATCCGCCCGTACGTAAATAGTATCCGACGCTTCATGATCCAGACGACATGTTCGATGATCGACGCTGATTCAAAAATCTCAAGCGACGACGCTTCGACCAACCCCCGCACCCCACCTAAGACGACGAAGACCGCCGCCGGACGATCGAATCACTTCCCGTCCGCACGAGGAAGAGTCTGCCACTGCCGAGGCGTTGACGCCTACTCCTGCTGACAGAGCTTCCTGACGTCCTACTTCTCGGCCGATCACATATCCCGCGCCAAATCCTACTACTGACACCAACACCACCACGCCGGCGCTGACAACCCATGTCAGCAACGTCGGGCTGATGAGGGCCTCGTCGCTGGCCGCAACCTTCTTCTTCTTTGTTGCTCGGGACGAGCGTGTCTGGGAAGAAGAAGTTCGCTTATGCTTGTCGACCCCGTCACTCTTGGGTGATGAGGGAGCAGAAGACGTCGCCGTCCGTGACGGACGGGCAACGGGAGACTTGGAAGGTGAGGCGGTCTGAGGTTGGGTAGGTCTTTCAGCCATGAGCTCAGATTCGGGCATCAGCCGTAACTCAACAGGTTGAGAGCTAGGTCCGACTCCGGCATGCGCGGGTGGAGCGCCTTGTCGCTCAGTATCCTTATACTTGGGCAGACCTCGGGCGGCAGCGGCGCACGACAGAAGAGTCGTGAGGGAAGCACGGAGAGCCGCATCATTGTCGGCTTGATATGCGGGGGACATGAAGTTTGGCGGGCCCCGGCTGACTCTAGTTTGAGATCGTTGGGATAGTGCGGGCCTTACACCGCTGTGCGGATGCTGGTGGATCGCCGAGCTGGCCGAGTGCCTCCTATCCAAGCCCGAGGGCGGATGAGAAAATGCATTTGGCTGAGGTCTGAAGACGGGATCATCGGAAACGCGGCCCAGGGCGGTTGCAATCTCGTCGCTATCGTCAGAGTCCTCCGAATCCTCCTGTGCCGATGGCTGCTGTTGGAACGACGCCCGCACCGGAGGCCGAACGTTCTCGGTCGAGCTCGTCAGACATCGGTCCTCCTCGCTTTCACTCTCCTCGTACTCCTCCTGGCTACTTGTACCGGCGTGGATAGCCGTCTGGTCGACATGGAAAGATCGTGGCACAGGCTGATTTTGGTGATGTAAGCGACGTCGGCGGGCGGCCACGGACCCACCGACTCGGAGACCGGTGGTGACAATCTCGTCGCCGATGGAAGAAAGGGACGACGAAGAAGGCTGCGACGAGACCTCTACCCACGAATCTAATGTGTGAGGTGTCAGCATGCTATCGGCCTCACCAACCATGTGGTTGTCTTCTAGTAACTGACCGTCATTCCGTCTACGAGGGCCCGCGGCGGGTTGTGGTCCGTTCGCCGACATTCTGCTGTTCTGGAAGTTGTGTCCTGCGCGATCGTCGCGCTGTTGTCCATCCATTTTGAAGTATTTGTTTTTTTTTGACGCCGCTGAAGTTCGAAGAGAGTAGCCAGAAATATAGAGAAAGGTCGTTCGTAATCGTTAGAGACGTCGCTGTCGTTGTCGTCGTCGAGGGAGGTGGTTGGACGTGTGTGGGGGGTGCGTCCTCCGTCCCAAACCCCGCGTTTTGGAGATAAGATACGCTCGTGGGATCTCCGTACCTAGCAAGGGGTCCGAGTTGTCTGTTCGCTCGACGTCGAAAATGGTTCGAAAAACGCGCTGAATCACAACCGGGAGAAGGGTTGAAGTAAAAAGGTGAAGGCACAAAAGAGGTAGGTAAGAAAGAAAGGGTTGCAGCAGACCGCTTCGACTATAGCCGGCTCACCAGGCACGCAGGGTCGGTGAGATGGTGTTGAGGCCCGGCTGGTGGATGGCTAGCTGGGCCTTTGTGCAGCAAGTAGAGGTCGGGGAACCTGAAAGGAGGGGAGGGGCATCTCTGCTTCTGTGTCCACCTTGAGCGTGCAATACGGCAGGTGGGATAACGGACGCTAGAAGACTAACTGGAATGTCACTGGATGTATATCTACAGCAGTTATTGGCTGGGCAGATACTTGCTACTTCGAGCCGGCGCTTGGAGGTTCCGGCCCCCGTACCGTGTCAGGTGCCATCACATTCATCTTATCAGACGGGCGTTTTCTGGCTGCAAACAGCGCGATAAGCACAGCACGACGTTTCTCTGAACGAGGGAATGTCCTTGATATGGATGACGCTATCGTTACGGTCAAGGGGGGGAGGAGAGACCACCGTACTGAATGGACGCATCCACGTCCACGTCCCGCCTCATAACATCCCACTTTGCAACTTACACACCGTCCGGGCCGCCAAGTGCAGGCGCTGCAGGGGGGGTCAGGTGGGGTCAAGATTCACGGTGTTTTGCAGCGGGAAGCGCGAGCTGCGCCCACCACGAGTCCCTCGACCACTTAACACCGACACCGGCTCTCCAAGTTTCGGTCGCCTGTTGCGTGGTCTACCTCTGTACGGCAGCATGGGAAATGCGGAGAGGGTTGGCCGTCCGGCGCTATTAGTGGTCTGTCGACGCCGCGACTAGCATCCCGCGACAAGGACGATCCCAAGACACGCCATGGTTCTCGTCTTATAATCGTCCCCTAAGTCATGCCAGATTCCACTGACGTGCTGTCGTAGGTAGCACTGGACTGCCGCCGTCCTCCTGAGCCCATTCTCCTCTTCGCTCCACCGTTTTCCCAACAGAATGGCCTTCCGTTTGGCGCCTTGAAGGTTCTTGAACGGGGCTACCTAGCAAGGTCAAACGGCTGAGCAGGTTTTACAGCCATCCGCTGGCGAACAGGTGTTCCCCCGTGACGTTATTAGCTGAGAAGGGCAGGAGTGACCAAGAGACGGGTGTTCTAGTGGGATGGGACATTTTAAATAAAGACACAACTTTACCCGTCATCACGGGGCTGAGTACGCACCTCGTGCCGCCCAATGACGCAGAGTTGCACGTTTTGACATGGGCACGAGGCTACCGCCGTATAAGACCGAAGTCGGGCAGTTCGTACCCCAAATGAGACATGGAACCACATTCCGTCTTACAACCCGGCGACGATCACAGATAAGGTCGCAGACGACATCAAACATCACAAGGTAGATACAAAGTAGACATGCATAGTGTGAAGTAGGACAAATATGTATTCATCGAGGAAAAAGTATCAAAACTTTTATTACAATTGGAGCCGTTCCTAAACGCCGAGTCCACCGGGCAATATATGCCTTTTTTGAAATGACATTCACGGGGAGAAGTATACTTACTCCACATCCTGCATCGCATTGCATGGTATCGTTCCAAGTTGAAGAGTAACCGAAAGGGAAGAAAAACGCCTGACTAGCCACATCAACAGCCGAAGCCGTCGAAAGCAACCCCCAGAGCCCACAGAAGCCGTCGTCATCTAGAATCATCGAGTCCACTCCGTCGATGTCTACTTGATTGGCAGACATCAGTAGAATCTTCCCCAACTTCATGATAATAAGCCGTCTGCCCACTGTGAAGATGTTGCAGTGCAACGAATGCCCTCTTGGTCAACCCACAATAGCGTACAGATCCCGCACCGTCTTCTTCCGTATAGAGACTTGCCACAAGCCCACGGTCCAAATGAAAAGCCCTCAGGTCCATCTTGTCTCCCAAGAGACTGCTCTCAAAGCCCACAATCCCCAAAGGGAAGAAACTTGTGTCGAACCGACAGCCCACAGTAGCCCACAGGAATGCCCGCGAAGTGCCCTCTGATTAACCATCAATGTGCGGCATGCATCACCGTTTAGAAGGTGACCTTGGAGCCCTTGAAGTCACCGAAACCGCCGCGGTTGGTGGAGGAGAAACCTCCACGGCCGCCACGGCCACCACGTCCACCGCGGTCACCACCGCCGCGACCACCGAAGCCGCCACGGCCACGGCCACCACCACGGCCGCCACCGAACCCACCGCGGCCACCACCCTCGCGCTGGGGCTTCTGGCCGGCATAGTCCAGACGGACAGCGCGACCGCTGCGGCCCTCACCAACGTAGCCACCGTTCAGCTGAGAGAAGGCAGTCTTGGCATCCTCAATGGAGCCGAAGGAGACGTATCCGAATCCCTTAAGATTACCCGACTCACTAAGAAGGTATTAGCATTGGTCAAGTTGATGTAGTTCAGGTGGGATACTCACGGGTCAGTGGGCAGACGGACGCTGGTGACCTCAGCCGCCTCAGCGAAGAAAGCACGGACGGTATCCTGGTCAACGTCGAAGGGAAGGTTGCCGACGAAGAGGGTGTCGCTCTCGGGGGAGACCTGGTCACCGTGCTTCTGGGCGCGGTCGAAGGCGCGGGCGGCGGGGTTGCCCTCACCCTGGGGCTTCTGGCCAGAGAAGTCGATGTTCATGGCACGGCCAGAGAGCTCACGGCCCTGGGAGCCCTCGAGGGCAGCGGCAGCAGCCTCGGGGGTGGAGAAGTCGACGTAACCGAAACCACGGCTGCGGCCAGTGGCCTTGTCGGTGACGACGCGAGCGCCGGTGAGGTCAGCGAACTCCTCGAAGGCGGCGTACAGGGAGTTGTCATCGACAGCCCAGGCAAGGGAGCCGACGAAGAGGGTAGAGCTCTTGTCAGAGACATCGGTGCGGGCCTTCTTGCCGGGAATGACGGGGTCGTCGAGGGCCTTGCGCTTCTTGGAGGGCTCCTCAACCTTGGTCTCAGTCTCGGATGCTTCCTTAGAGTCGGAGGTCTCCTCCTCATCAGAGTCAGAGTCGGAAGAGTCGGAGTCGGAGTCGGAGCTCTGTTGAGAAATCATTAGAAAATGTTATGGTAGTCAAGATATGGTGCAACTAACCTCGGCCTTCTTCTCAACCTTCTTCTCGGTCTTCTCCTCCTCAGACTCAGCGTCGGAGTCGGAGTCAGACTCGCTGTCGGAAGACTCCTTCTTGGCAGCACCGTTGGTCTTGGGGGCAGCCTCGGCCTCAGACTCGGAGGAGTCAGAGTCAGAGTCGGAAGAGTCAGAAGACTCAGCCTTCTTGGCGGCCTTGGTGGCAGCAGCCTTGGGGGCAGCCTTCTTGGCGGGCTTCTCCTCCTCAGACTCGGAGGAAGAGTCGCTGGAAGCCTCGGCCTCGGACTCAGAAGAGTCGGAGGACTCGCTCTCGGAAGACTCAGGCTCGACGACCTTCTTGGACTTCTTGGACTTCTTCTCGACCTCCTTGGCGACAGCCTTGGACTTGGCCTTGGGGCTCTCAGACTTGGCGACGGCAGCGCCCTTCACCTTGGTGAGAGGGTCAGCGGCCTTGGTGGCCTTGGAGGATGACTTGGTCTTGCCCATTGTGATGATTTGAAAAGGTGAACGGAAGGGTATCAAAAACAAGAGATTGAGGTATGGAAATAGGCAAGAGAAAGACTTTTTCCAGAGAGGTTGCGCGAGGGAAGAATTGATAGAAGCTTGGGGAGGGGAGCTTGACTTTTAAGGCCAGGGTCTCGGTGGTTGGGGCGAAGGGTCTTGCGACAGAGATTTTTTTTTTGCGATTTGCCAACTTTTCAGCGGGGCTGCTCCCTCGACCGACGCGGGCGGTGTGCGAGGGGCTGCAAGGTTGCGGGTCCAGGAGGTACGTACCGAAAAGCCGCAGCCGAGTCGCTCTGGGGGAGGCAGGAACGACGGCCGTGGTCCGTGGGCAATGGGGGCGCGACTGAGCCTGCGAATTAAGGCCGCCGGAATCTGGCTGACCTCTCTAGCCAGGTTCCTCCAATCCCGACAGCCAGCGGTCCCGAAATCGACCATCACGAATCCACGAAGCTCGACCTCAACTCCGTCCGCGACCTCCGACTTCCCGGTCCAATTCGAACCTCAACCCCTTCCTCGAGGAGACGACTTTTGAAAACACAATCTCAGTCACGATGCCGACCCCCGAGTCCGCGATGTTCCTGGCACAAAAGCCCAAGGTGCCCCCAACTTTCGACGGCGTCGACTACGACGACACCAAGGCATTCAAGCAAGCACAGGACGCCATCATCCGCGAACAATGGGTCGGCGCCATGATGCTTCGTCTTGTTGGCGAGGAATTGGGCAAGTGCTACAAGAAGGAGGGCGTTAACCACCTGGAGAACTGCGGTCACCTTAGAGGTTAGTAGGCCTTTGCGAGAGACGGAGGGGGTGTATCTTGGTCAGGAGGCCAGGAGAAGACAGACGCTGATTGAATATACAGAAAAGTACCTGCAACTGTTGAAGGAGAAGAAGGTCAAGGGTACACTGTTCGAGCAGCAGAACTACATCAGCAAGCAATAGATGTGCTATATTACGGGATGGAGTATATGGGTCTGTTGTGAAGCAAGGAACGGCGCTCTCGAAGGTGACCTCTTTCAGGATTTAGAAAGGAGGAACGCAGAGACGAGGCTGTGACGGTACCACGTCAACTGGCCGGCGCGTGATGGGCGATATCCCTCACGATATGTACAAATGAATCAAACAGGGCTTCTGAAGTTATGCATCTATCCGTTTTCCAGCTTCCGGTCGCCCAATGGCTCTCGAAACAGCTAGCTTTGAAGATATTTTCAACACCTGCTGTTAGAGAAACCAGATAAACACCTTCCGTGCATCAATTGACTCTAATTATGAGTTGTAAGTGATGTTGAGGGTCGGGTGAAGCGCAGTAAGTACCCAGAGCCTCCCATGCCAAGTGCGCAACAGGCGCGTCCCGCCCGCCCCAGAATTTTTCCACCCCCGAGCTCCAAGCTCACGCATCCTGCAACAACCACCAAAAGTTCGAGGTGACCCTCGTCGACGAAGCAACCCACAGAGATATCTCAGCACCCGGTGACGCATACCGTCCGCATTTCTCCAACCACCACCAGATTCCCCGAACGTCATGATTTGCAGAACATGTTTGCGCCGCGGGGCCTCGGCCCTGCCTCGTCTCCAGGCCCCTCGCGCCTCGTCCCTCCTCGTCAGACCCTTCTCCCTCTCCGCGCCCTCAAGAAACGCAGCAGAAGCGCCTGCTGCTGCCGCTGCCGCCGTCGCCGACACGAGCGCACCCGTCGCCACAGATGCCAGCAACGCACCCCCAAAGGTCTCCTCGGCCACCGCCGACATCCCCGAGGCCGCGGCACCCATCTCCTCCTGCCCGCCCGGCACCGTCCTCAACGGCCTCAACTACTTCAAGAACAAGACGGACCCCGTCGCCCTCCCCGACGAGGCGTACCCCGACTGGCTGTGGACGGTTCTCGAGTCCAAGAACGAGGCCGTCGAGTCTACGGATGACCTTGCAGCCGAGATGTTTTGTATGTTTTTCCTCTCTTTTTAAAAAAAAAATGGCTTCGGTGAGTACACATCTAACACGATACACAAACAGCCAAGTCCAAGAAGCAGCGCAAGGCCGCCGCCAAGAAACAAAAGGCTCTCGAGGCAAAGGTCCTGGCCTCGGGCGACGTCGAGGCCCTCGCGCCAAAGGTCCCGCTGCCGCAGCAGTCCATCAACCTGCCCGGCGAGAAGGGCGGCGACGTCGAGCACAACCTCGAGGCAGCGACCAAGAGAGACGAGCTGCGCAAGGCGATGCGCAAGGACCGCAAGGCCAAGATCAAGGAGGCCAACTACCTCAAGTCCATGTAAGCGGGTGTTGGTGGGTGGCACCGTTGTTATTGGCTTGTTTGCATCTTGCATGGTTGCTACGTAAGGGGGTTGTTGGGATTGTGTATCATAGAGAGCTCTCAAGAAGGGGGCTCCTGTACAATATCTACGGTCGGCGTGACCGGCTTGTTATATCATCACCAAAATATCAACTGGGCGGATTAAAAGAATGAAGTTGTTAGAGCGATGTGGGCTCTGGTTTCCAATATTAAAGCTAGTCGGCATGATGGTAGCCCCTTTAACTATACATTGCCGTAGATAAAATCGCTTTGAAGTGAATACTCTTGCCCTTCCGTTTGCAATCCTGTTTGAACGCTTGAAGCGCCCCGTCCTTAATCGTCGTCCTCCTCTTCTTCGTTGATAGAGGTTTGCTTGAGCGCCAATTCCGCTCTCAGCTGCTTCAACCTGTCCTCCACACGCTTCCGCAGAATCTTGTTTTGTTGGAGAGCCTTCTCTTGCTCCTTCTTTGCAATTTCTGCCTTGAGATTCACAATATCTTCCCTGACGGCCTTGATTTCGTCCTGAGGCGGCTTGTCCTCGTCGTCATCATCGTCATCGTCGTCGTCGTCGTCGTCATCTTCGTCCTCCTCACTAGCGACGGACTCATCCCCATCACGTGCGTTGGCTGCCGGTGTGCCGGCGTTCATAGTCATCGGCGTGGCTCCCTCGACTTGTGTTGCTGGTGTGCCAACCTCCGTCGTGGGCTGTTGCATCTCCAACTCGAAAGCAGCCTCGAGCTCGGCCTCCAACTCGTGATCATCTTCGTCAAATAGTTCGCCGTTGGCATAGCCCTCAGACGGGAAGTAGCCGCTGTCGTCTGCCTCGCCATCGGCGTCCTGTTCGTCGTCGGAGTACTCGTCGCCAGACTGCATCTTCTTTTCGTCGATGAACTCGTATTTGGAGGACATAGCGGCCGCGTCGGCCTGCAAGAGTTTCTTAACCTCGTTCTCCTTCAATTCGATCTCAGAGCGACTGATAATCTTTGCGAATCTTTGGTTTGTTGCGTCGTGCATCGGTGGTGTGAGACCATGAGGCCACTTGAAGCCCGGCTGTATCATCGCAGGTAGCGGTGCCTTCTTTGCCTCTTCGTCACTCTTCACCGGCTGGAAGACCAGAAGCATATGGCAGATGTCGGCAGACTTCATGAGTGTTTTACGATCCCAGGACTTCATTCCTTCCGTGATCGTCGGTAGCTCGACCATGACCGCTGCGTATGGTTGGCCTTTGACGGCAACGACCGCACGCCGGCTGTCGTCGTCGAAGAACTTCATCATTATATCCGCGCCGCCGTCCTTTCGAGGTAGGCCCACCTTGCCTTCTTCGACGCACTTCCTGACGTATTCGCAATGCTCTCCTGGCATCATGCGCAAGATGAACTGCTCCTCGAGTGTGGGGTCCTTTTCTTGGTCGCTGGCTTCCGAGTCGTAGCCATCGCCAGGAGGGTGTACTGGCGGTTTGCCTTTCGACTTGACAACGATATGACCTGATCTAGGTGTCGATACGTTCGGCGTCTTCAGAAGCTTGATCTTTTTCGAAGACGGTTGGTTTGCGCCGTCGTCATCCTCGTCTTGTTCCCTCTTCTTCGACTCGATGAGCTTGCTCGTGGGCTTCGGTTGACGCCCGGCTTTTGTCTTAATCGGCGTCTGCGCTGCTGGTCCAGCCGGCGTTGGTGGTTGTGATGATTTGAGTTTGATCTTCATCCCGGAGGAAGGTGTCGAAGCTGAAGGTGTCGCGCCGTTCTGCTCGCTGAATGATGTCTGTCGCGAATTTACGCTGAGCTTCAGCTTCGGCCGTGGCGGCGGCGGCGCACTGACGTCTGGCATCTTTGGTGGTCGTTCGTCAAAACTATTACGGGTGTTCGAAGTATTTCTGTTTGTCGCATCCAGGGGGTATAGTCAGAGTCGGGAGAAGGTTTTCGTTTGTGTAGATCGGAAAGGCAGGCAGGCGCGCCTCGATCGTCGCGGGGAGGTTAAGTGGAGCGCATTCGGGGTCCCTTGCTGGTGAAAAACGCAGGAAACAATGTTCAGAGATTCGTCGGATCAAATACGTCGGAGTTCTTGTCTTAGGGAGGCTTTTGGCATATCCGTACGCAATGGAATTTTTGGGTAAAGACGGCTCGCAAGTCGGTGCCTCATGGCCAGAAGCGCAAAGTCAGAACTGGAAGTTGAGGCCCACGGGTAGGTCCTAGCTGACCACGGTACTTAGAAAGGTACCCGCACCCTGGAAGGTAGGTACTTCTATCCCGGTGCAAGACCAGCCTTGCAGGTCGCGTGTGGTAAGCTTTAGCGTGACAAACGCTGGCGGCATGGCGCACAGACCCGATCTTTCAAGACCACCTTCACCTTCCAGGTTGGTGGAGATATCACTCTGTAATACTCCGTAGATCTGAATAATAAGTTCGTTGAAAGCAAGTCGTCCTCAGTATCTAGGGTAACTCTGGATACAAGCTATGCTACCACGCTGCCTATTAACTACCACCATTGCTATCTTCTCAACCTATTACGCGTCACTTCCTAAAGGTCGAGACCTTACAACCATTCCATATATATGCTACACCCGAAATCAAATATTTTGCGCCCTGAGCCTGCATCTCAGCCTAAATACTCTCGTAACTTCGGGTCATCCACGATCTGACAAACATCTTCCCAACTGAGGTCAGTCCCTATGGCAATGAATCGTGATCCAGTGCGGGTCTTCAGTTTCCGAACTGAGGAAAATCTGTGCAGGAGGTTCTCCTGCACAGTATAGGAAATTCCGTCGTCTTCAATGCCTTGAATGAAATCGTTGATGAATTTCCTCAATTCGTTACCCTTCCTGTGAGGCGCTCGGAAGTACGCGTCCATCTTGCTTTGCTTGTATATCTGAAAGGTCTCGAATCGCGTTTGGACGCGCTTGGAAGCCTTCGGTTTCGCCGGTCTGGACCCGGGGCCTGTCACTGGCAGAGGGTCGGCTGCACGCTTGGGTTTGTTGACCTTGATGCGCGGTTTTTTCAGTTGCTGTTGAGGCTCAGATGGTGCCGAGATGTGTTCCTCGCCGTCAACAGCTCGAAGCCTCTTCCTATCAACGACCCGAACTAACACATGTCAGCTTCATTCTTTTTGTTTTCGGATTCGGGTTTCCTACAGTTGTCCGGGTCTTCTTGCGTCGCTTGCAAGGACTGCTTAGCGACGAGTTGCTCAACCTTGCGGTCCAAGGCTGCCCTCTTCTCATCGCTTTGGAAGAGCCTATTTGCCAAAGCCCTAAGCTCTTGCTCCTGCTTACGGATCCTTTCCTCTGCTGCTGCGTAGTGATTATTCAGTTCGGCTCCCAGATCATCTAGCCGCTTGGGCATGGGTTGCAGTTCCTGCAGCCTTGTCTCGCTGTTCTTGTCATTCTCGTCGCTTTTCTCCTGGCGACGAGAGACATCATCAAGAGTACGACGCATGGTCATGAGCTCTTGATAGATGACAATGTGGCTCATGCCAAAGGCCATCTGGGTTGCGGGGATGGTGTGAGTCGCAGCAGCGGCACTGTTCTGAATCCATTATAACGTGTCAGAGCTCAAATCGCAATACAGGATCACACAGAGCACTGCTATTGCTTACAGATGGTCTGGAAGGGGCAGCTGCGTGTTCCGGGTTTGATGCCGTGGCTGACCGCTTCTTCGACGTTGCCGGCGCCATCGTGATGATTGTAGGTTCTCTTGGTTCACGTAAGAGGGTAGGTAGACACAGAGAGGAACGACGTAACAGGAGAACTCGCAGGGGTGGACTTGACGAGTACAACTTAGAAAGACGCCAAGTCGGTTGGTAATATGCAGAATAGGGGCTGAAAAGAATCTGGAATCTAAGAACCGTCCAGCTCTGGCGATGTGTGGAAAAGGGCTGAAAAGACAGCACGGCTTCGACTTTTTACGCAGAATGCGGGGATGGCAGGTCAGGTGTCTGGTTACAGAGTTTGCATGGCGTCAGAGGAAGGCAGGGCAGGTGTGAGGAGGTTCCTACCATTCTCAGATGTCTTTCGTGGGAAGGAACCCAGACCAACCACTCGTGCTCCTTCCTTGGAGGAGCTGTCAGGTAAGGGAAGGCAAGTAGCAGGATCTCGAGGCATTCAGTCAGCTTTAATGATCATGTGTATGAGCTCAATATTCGACTACAACTTAGGTATCGCGTACTATAAACTTCACAAACCCCCATCTCATGCGTGAACCTGTCCATTTGTCCCAGATCCTCCTCCATTCGCAGCCGGCTCCTTCCCATTCCTCGAAGACACACCCTGCCTCGAAGTACGACCACCCTGCATCGAAGACTCGGCATCCTCCAAAGTCATAGACGGCTTGCGGTTCGGAACCTCACTTCCTCCACCATTGCCCTTGACGGCAGTCCACTTCCCCACGCTCGTCCCCTTCTCCCGCTCCTCAGCAATCCAGCCCAGAAACAGCGCAACGTCTTTGGCGACGACGCCAATAACAGCCTTTGCCTGAATCCACGCAGGCAACACCCCCTTCGCGTCCGATGCCGTAGCCATAATCCACTCAATCGCCCCCGTAGGCAGCTTCCGAACCCTCTCAACGCTCACGTACGCGCCCACAACGACCCCCTTGTCCTTGACGAGCTTCCCGTGCTCCGACAAAGCCAGGTCCGAGACGGGTATCGACACCACCACAAACTCGTCCACCGCGCCCTTGGCCCGAGCCGAGATGATGAGCACGGGGAACACGCGGTTCTTGAGCGGCATCCCGAGCTTGTGCTTGACCTCCGATACCCCGACCTTGAAGTCCTCCCACGACAACCCGCCCTCGTCAACGACGATACCGCTGCAATCCCACGCGAGCGCCTCCCGCGCCTCCATCACGTTGGGCGTAAACGCCTTCTCGGCCTCGACGTGGTCGTCCTTGAAACATTTCACAAACTCCTCCCACGCCGCCGTCCCCTTGCCCGGCCGATCCTTGTGGATGCTCCGCCGGCACGCCCACGTCTCGCTCGCGACCGAGCTGCTGCTGGGCAGCTGGTTCCTCGCCGCCTCCTTCTCCAGCTCTGCCGCGGGCACGATGCGCTCGTACAGCTCCACGGGCGCCGTCGACTCGGGAAACGTCTTTGTTCCCTTGGCCTTCCACTCGTTGGGGCGCGCCGTGCCGTCCTTGGGCGCCACGGCGTCGATGAACGGAACGGCTTCCTGCAGCACGGCGATGAGAAACGGCGCCAAGTCCGCCGTCGTGGCGTTCGGCGCCGGGAGCTGCTCCGTCTGGAGGCCCCATAGGCGGACCAGGGGTCCCAGGTTTTCGTCCTCCGTGTTCATTCCGGCAACGTCCCGGGTTTAGTGCGTCTATGATTAACAAGACTGTAGATCCTGGTTGTAATACGAGTAATGCGTGCTTCCGTCGCAAAGGAGCTCAAGGTCCCCAATCCTGTCGTAATCGCAATTGGGGTTCTTATATGAGACGGGTAGATCGGAGAGCAGTCTGTGGGTAAGTAGATGTTGGTTATGCGACGTCAGTGAGCAAAACTCAAAACCCCACGTTTGGTACGCGGCTGTTCGTAAAGCGATTGCGCGAGGTAGGTTGACAGTGACAATGTCAAAGACTAAAGCTCAAGCTCAAGCTCCAGCTTTTGGGATGAATATGAAGGAGGGGGGGATGCGAGGGGAAAGGGCGGAAGGGGATAGCTATAGCTGTCTGAGACGTCTTTGCCAGGTTCGCCGCACTGACCTTGAAACAAAACCAGGCCGATCAGCCGGGCCACTTAGCGACGCACTCGAGTGTCGTTATCACCACTCTCAGTAATGTCAGACCCTGCAAGCTATCAATACTGGTCTACCCTGGTTTGCAAATATTCTCCGAAATCTTCAATTGAAAGAGAAACATCAGTGATCTGCACTGTTTGGTTGGTTGGATGTATAGTCGTGATGTCATAACGGTCTTTTGTATTAATATTATTCGGTGGTGCCCGTTTAGTCTGTCACCTTCTGGCGCCGTAGCGCTGTCATGTTTAAGTCTCTTTTATCCCTCTTTACCATGTGATATATAGTCATAATGGCTTGCAATGTACAGTCCTCAACCCAAAAACCCTCCTTACAAAATCTCATCATCTAGGGGTTGCGCTTCTCCCAGTAGATGTTGGCGGGCTCCAATGGCCGTGAGAAAAGGGAGGCGTAGTCGGTGCCGTTGATCTTATTGCTGCCGTCGGCGTTGCGGAACTTGAATTCTCTGACAATCATGGCGGTAATGGTCTGCAGCTGCAGGTTGGCAAAGTGCTCGCCGATGCAGCGGTGACGACCGGCGCCGAAGGGGAGGTAAGGCGATCCGGCACCCTTGCTAACCAAGCCGTAGCCGTAGTCAATCTTCTCGTCGTCGATATCTTCGGGGCGGTCAAGTCTGGGGGCGATAGGGGAGTCGGCGTCCCAGCGGTGGGGGTTCCACTCCTCGGGCTCGGGGAAGTAGACGGGGTCGGAGCCAGAGACACCAGGGGCGGCGAGGAGAGTGTGGCTAGTGGGAATGACATACTTGGTTCCGGGAACAGGCATGGGAGATGTGACGGCGCGCATGATGGAGTGAATAGGGGCGTGCAGGCGAAGAGTCTCCTTGATGATGGCCTGGTTGAGGGGCAGATTGGCGAGGTCTTCGTAGGTCAGGGGAGGAAGGTCGGCGCCGAGAACACGAACCTGCTCCTCGTACAACTCCTCCATGATTTGAGGGTTCTGGGCAAGACGAAGCATGATCCAAGAGCTGGTGGAGGAGGAAGAGTGCTGACCGGCCATGAGGAGGGCAATCATCATGTTGGCGATCTCGTGGTCGGGGACCTTGATGCCGTTCTTGTAGGTAGAGTTCATCAGATGGGTCATGATATCGAGTCCGTTGGTGCGGCCTTGCTCGCGGCGCTCCTTCATTTCGTCCTTGTAGATCTGAGCAACGGTGCGCTGGGCGTGATCGCGCTTCTTGTTCCAGGGGAGAGGGGCCCAGTGCAGCACAAAGTTGATGGAGGTGAAGCCCATGTCGAGGTCGTGGTACAGAGAAGCGAGGGACTCGTCGAACTTGTTGCGGATTTCAGCGCCCTGAAGAGCGTGGGAGGCGGTGAAAATGGTGATTTCGGCCAGCTTGGGGGGCAGGTTGACGACGCCAGACTTGCCCTTGAAGTCAGGGCTGCGCTTGAAGTAGTTGGTGACCTCGTCGGCAATGATGGGAGTGTAGGAGCGGAAGGCCTCGGTGGTGAGGGCAATCTTCATGAACTGGAGGGGCGCGCAGACTGTCAGCATACAGCTTTGTGCAAACAGAGTTTAGACTTTCCGCATACCTTCTTCTGCTCCATGAGCTTGGCGTTGGGGCAGTCATAGACAACATCGCGTCCAAAAACGGGAGTGGTCAAAACAGTGTAGATATCCTCAGCATTCACATCCTTGAGCTTGCCGTTGAGGATGAAGTCATTGCCCTGAGTTCCGAGGGCGACCGTGGTCTTCTTGCCGAGGAGGACGAAAGTGAACACATCACCAAACTGTGGGAGCAGCGTACGTTAGTAAGAGACGACATCGGCGAGAGTCAGTTTCGGTGGGAGTGCGCATACCTTTTCGCGGTTGGCCTTGAAGAAGGCTGGGGGGTCCATGCCATAGATGACGGTGCTGCCGATGAAGGGGAACCAGTGGAAGACCATGGGAGGCTCATTCTTGTTCTTGAAGAAGATCTGATTTGCGACATTGAGGATGACGGAGACGACCACGACGGCGGCGAAGACGACTGCAACTTGCGACGCACTTCCCAGAGTCTGGAATTGCTGGGACACCGGTCCCGCGACTTCTTGGAGGAGACCCATACTGGGTAGACGAGGGGATGAGGACAGGAGAATGCGTCAATCAAAGTGATTTGACGCAGTTATCGGGTTTGCCTGTGTTTTCAAGAGTAGTGACCGTACTCAACACACGAATATCAGTGGCACGAAGAGAGTGGAAGGCATCGAGAAGGGGGGTCCAGCGGGTTTAAATTATCCATTAATGAGATTAGATACCTGCCGCGTTTTGTTGGGTTCCACATTTTCTTTGCGTAACCAAGCAGCACCACTACGTCTGTGTGCGCCTGGCCAGCAGCTAAGCCCAAGGTACCTAAGTATTCAAGGAAGGTTGCATGGCCAGGCGGTCAAGCATTTCGCATGTCAAAAAAGTGTCGTGGAGCCAAGAAGCTGTGACATCTGGCCACCCGGGTCGGTTTTGAGGCGTCTGTCACAGGGTTCCTAGCGCATTGTGGCAGAGAGAGAAAGCCGCACCGCACCCTTTTCTTCCTGTTGTTTTCTGCCCTTTCTTTCCCACGTTTGCTGGAGATGCTTGGATGCCAGGTGCCCCCCTCCCCCCCCCCTTTCCCACTCGGAAGCACCTGTGCGTCGCTGTTAGTCCAGGTTGGACGTTGCGCCAGAAAATCGGGAACAGGGGAGGAGACCAATCGGTGGCACCAGCCGACTCATCCAATGACGGGCCGTTCGTATTCGTATCTGGGGACCCTCCCTGCCTATTCGAGCAATGGGAGATGGGAATGATTCGATGTGTGCTCCAATTCCCCAGACTCTGGAAACCACCTTTGAACGCGATCAAGCCATTTCAAAATTGCCTCGCTGGTGTCGTCAGTTTTGTCATTGCATATTGCTGTTGTTAACTTCTTACCTCTCTCCCATCTACAGGGGTCTGGGCTGGCTCCTCCTCTTCTTTCTTCTCATTCGTTTCCAACCCACCTCAGCCCAGCCCATCCGTGCCATCCCACTTTGTTTGACAAAATCTGCGAAACCTTCCGAGGCAGGTACCAGAGAAGCAGACAACCCCCGTCTGGCCACTCACATGTGCTCAATTGGCAACCCTGGCAACCCGAATAAGAACTCGAGCGGCTGATGCCGCCCACCATCACTGTCTGCGCCTCCTAACGCGTACATATCTGTCGCTATCCACTTGAACATTAAACATCTTCAGCTACACAAGGGCAAGGAAGTTCTGAGTTCGTCAATGTGCTAAAGTCTTATCTGCGAGGAAGCTCATGTCATATTCAACATAGGCATAGACGTAGATGAGAGGCTGGTGTGTACCCCTCCATTCCTCTCATTTGAACTTCACCCGACTTAGCCTACTCCTTGTCATGAGCCACAAGTGGGACAAGAGCAGCGCAACTTCTAACTGTTGCGTCGCAACAGTCGTAACAAGACAGGGATGCAGATCAACTTTGAGAGATACACTCAGAGTCACTGCCTGACACTAGATTTTGAAGAGGTTTCATCACCATAGTTGACATTTCGTTCCCGCCCCAGGTATAGCACTATCCGTATAATCAACTAGCGAAGAAAGTCCCACTTTACCGACCCTCCGATCGAGCATGAATCTTCCGAGACTGCAGTAGCCAGACACAAGCCCTATCTGCAGCCGAGCTATGTGTTTCTACACTTGCTCCAGGTCGTAGGTGAACAGCAGGCGGCAGTCTGCCTGATGCAAAGGACGACGAGCGTGCCGTTAGCAAACGACTACCCTCTCAAAGGAAGTCGAAGGCTCAGCCAGCCGTCTCAGCTGATCGCATTTAGCAGGATGTTCACTCGTATGACATATCGCTGCCTATCTAGAGACGATTATTGACTATGCTAGACGAGAAGAAAGCTTGCCTGCGTGATTTACGAGCTCTTAATAGCTTAAAATTCACTGCGCGGTGAAGTACAGTGTAAGTCATGGGCCCAGAACTTGTCCTCATTGGATTGCGGCCATGTTTCGCTTCTCCATGCCATGAGGCACGAGAAAGGTAGTTCGTGGTCCAGATGTTCTGGGGAGACGAACGCCTCGCTCCAAAGGAACTCAACTTGACATCTGGACTTGATGGCCAACCAATCGAAGCTGAAGACTCGTCGCAATGATCAAATCTAGATCTTATACAAAGACTGCATACGGGAATTAGTAAAGCAACAAGAGAGAGACCGAGTGAATTTCTTGAAGACAAGCAGCAGAACCTCTATGTTTGCGGCATGTACCAGCGGCAACCACATAATAGTGTCTCTTCAGGAGTCGACTTCCTGCATTCACAAGGTCTCGTTCTCGACCGTGCTTGTGTAGATCGATATTTCTATAGCTGTAGCACCATTCTGAACCATCTCGACGAGCAGACTTCACTCCACTTGCACGTTTCTTATCTTCTGCGTAGAGCATACGGATAAAGTAGGTTCCAAGCCACAAAGACCCTTATCCCAGACAATGCCAGAACATCCTCCAAAGGGAGGCAAAAAAGTTCTTTCTCAAAGAGGGGAACTGCGTAAGAGCCTAGGCCTACAAATAGACCTTTTGGATTGGAAATGACTTCTCTGCTCGCCGTATACCCCCCAACCCTTCACTGCCATCGTCATCGGCTGTCTTGAGTATATTCCACAGAATATACACGACCAAGCTTGAAGGCCGATCAAGATCTCTGGACCATCGTTCTGTCGCGACAAAACATTTGCCAATCCTTCGAAGCCAACCAATTCCGAGACAACTTTTCTGCCACTGGGTCAATGAGGAGTCTGCCGCTGGGTCAACGAGGAGTATCTCAAGGGTTTTGCCTGGAGAGAGAAGGTCCCATCGTTATGAGCAGACAGCCCAAGTCCTCATGTCCGTGGTCTGTTCAACCTAGAAAGCTCAAGAGATGCCCTTTTATATTACCTTGGTCAATGGAATCGGAAAGCGCCGTATCGTTCCTGTCACCGATGCGGAATGACCCGGGTAGAGGGGAACGGAGCAATCTCCCAAGACAGGAACCTTGTTCAAGAGTTGGGTTTCCTTCTCGTCATTGATTCTTGGGTGGTATTGGGAGGGAATTGTGGATATGATATAAGCAAAGCCCAGACTAGAAGCATCATCAACGGTCTTCCGTATAATTGATTTCGTCAGATATGAAGTGTATGCGAAAACGTCAACTCGCCTGTATTTAAACACTTTCGGTTATGGAATGGCTTTTCTCCGGTCCCTTAAGCCAGCTAGTCGTCACCCGTTGAGTACCGTGAACACAAATCGTCACCGGGATTGATCTTCCTCGCATCTGACAATACTCAAAGTAAGCGACCATCCTGAGATTGTCGTACGCTTATAGCAGCGTTGCTGATAACGGACGACGCACGTAAAAGCGAACTGCAGAGTCCAAATCGGAGCCTTTTCCCCGTGGTGCGAAGCCTCTGATCCACCGCATGTATCAGAGAATTGTCAAAAAGAACAGCGCTGGCTAGACTACAAACTACACTGCCCTGTCTTAAGCTATGTTCTCCAGAGTGCATCATTAAGATATCGATCTAGGGAACTGCATCTCGTCAGGGACAAAGATAGTCAGCATCGTACAAAGACATTCGCCCTTAAATCTTTGTAGACGGCAGATTGCAAAAGTTGGGTGTAGCATAATAGCCAGTGCTGCCAGCTCTGTTGATGCAGCCAAATCTCTCCTACAGTCACGAAGTGAGCAGATCGCTGCCTATCTCAAGTCGACTTCTCGATCGTGTTTGGAATGTCACAAATGCTGTACCTCGGATTGTACCTTTGACACAGTTCTCCATGGCTGTATCCTATCAGGCTGTGTGAGTGTGAGTAGTGACAGCCTGAGAAGCTTCCTTAACAGCACGAGTAGTCATCTCAAAGGCCATAAAGTCACACGGAGAACAGGTTTAAAGTTGGGAATGATGTCTTTCTTAAGACTTTGATTTCTGCTATCTAGCGTATGACTCTCAAGTCTGCGCTTCTCGTAGTTTGATGTTTGTATGGGTTTTTGTAATATGATTAGTTGATGCAGTAACGACCGTTGGCTATGGCTATTTGCCAGCCCTGAATGCATGCAGTTGGTTTGATATAGACAAATCAAACTGCAGAGGTATCTCTTTTTTGTAAAACCTAGAAAGGAAGAATCCGCACCGGAAAAAATGAAGAAAAAGAAAAGCAAAACAAGCAAGGTACTTTTTTTTTGTTGCCCTTGTTCGCTTTGGACGCCGTAAACACCGGGAACCATGCTATGATGAAAATGGGTTGAAGGCGGCTTTCCTCATGGCTCGAACTATGCGAGCCCCATACATGCCCTTCCTTAGATTGTTGTTTTCGTAGAATGCAGGCGGCAGTCGCCGGCCAGCTTAGAAGGACATACCAGTCCATCCATAAGGTCCGTCGACGTTAACCCAGTTGTGTGCCTCCATGGCAGACTCCCAGCCCATCATGACGGCAAGCAGGCGGCAGCCCATGGCGCTGACGGTGCAGACAATCGCGTCGCTGGAGCTGGCGAGCACGGCGAGGTCCATCATGTACGCGCGACCGATATAGCCGCGGAGTCGAAGAGTCTCGGCCGAGGGAGCCAGCTGCATGTTCTTTGCCGTTGCAGCGTTAGACGCGCTCATTGAAGAGAGGCCCAGGTTCCAGAACATGGCCGCGAAGAAGCCGCCCTCCCATCCGAAAGACTCGTCCTCGAAACGATGCATGACGTGCTTATTTGTGGCGGGCTTGTGGGTCTCCTGTTTGGAGGCGAGACGGATCTGCTCCTGGGCACGCATCGAACCCTTGAAGTCCTCCGAATCGTACACGGTCGGGTCGTCGGATGCCATAACGATCAGCGACTGCTTCTTGGCGAGTTTGTCGTCTGCACCATCTCTACCGGTATTATTGTAGTTGGCCTCGATAATGTCCTGGGCACGGTTGGCGATGATCTCCATCGGGATGTAAGTGCCGCGGTATTTGTATTCCAGCGGGTGACAATCTCCATGTCGGATATGAACGCCGACTATAAGGCCGTCATTCGGGTTGACTTCTCCTGTGAGAGCCTTGGTCTTGACCTCCTTGACTCTGTTGATGACGT